TCTCCCCTTTTGATCTTTTGCGCTCGCAATGAAAATCTCGACCTTCATCTTTCATGCAGCGATAGTGATTTATGGACTTATCCTTAGCCGACGTTTCACGCTGTAACCTCGTGAAATGCAAGCGATGCTATATCGTTATGATATATCTCGACGAATCGTTTGAATCTGAAATTGAAAGCCGCGCAGTTGAGGGATAAGTCGCGAAAAGAATCGCAATCGCAAGTGAATCATGCTGATAACTAATTGTTACATCATACGATAACTGTGTGTGAAGCCTATTTTTAACCGTGCAACATATGTAACTGCAGCTCTTATCGCAAAGAAATTTGCATGAATTAGAGGCTCCAAGGTAAGCGTCGAGTGAATCTTGAAAAATACCTATTTTCCGTGTAACACAAGGAAATCGCGTGCATCGATCGTATAATACCCTTCTTCATACTTTTTTACGAAATCAAAATCAACCTCTTTTATTTTTTTTTATTTTTTGTTAATCTGGCGTTGTATTGATTGGTCACACTTCTCGTTAACGTTAAGGTTTTTCCAAAGAACCTACAACAGCAACAACCGTAATAACGTTATAAGCGAAATTACGAATAAAAAGTCAAGCCATAAAACATCTGCGCGTAGCATCTCGAATTGAGAACTTTTACGATTCCACGTTTTGTAGCGAAGTTTCTTTTATTACTGTCATTGTGTTTTCCCACTGACACTTTTTATGTAATAATTGAAGATAATTGCTTGGAGGGAAAAACATCAGTGAGATATTTTTATCGAAAGCTCTATCAACGAATTGTTAAAACGGCCAAACACTCATAGTAAATATAATTACCAAGTCACTGGACGAAATTCTTTACCGCGCGTGCGTCATGTCTTGCTAATCATTGATCTACTATATCTACAGCAAAAACAGATCGGGCGCAAAAATAACGTTTAGATGGATTATTAAATTAGAAAGCTAGTATTTTTGGAAAAAAAAAACAAAATATATATAAATATTTTCAAAATTCAAACAACGAAGTTTAGAAACATCACGCGAGATTTCAGACAGCGAAGCTGAACCTTATAATTGGATCTCGTCAACGTATGAAAAAGAACACATTTAAATTGACACGCGCAGAGCAAAGTAGCAAAGCCCGTAAAGAAAAAGACACGCAAAATAGCAACCAAAGGTTCCCTCTCGTCATCATCTTCATCGTTCGAGTCATCGGAGCGTATAAATAGAAAAATAAAAATCGCACGTTTCGCGCACGTGCCGAGCTCTGCTGTTGCTGTCTGGAACATCACCTGGATTTGAGGATGAGAGGGAATGTTTAATTAGGCGTGGAGCTCGCCAAAAGAGTGAGTCACGAGCGTTCTGTGCTATGACGGGGATTCCTATTTGGATTTACGGAATTGATTATTTTTCTGAATTGGATATGTTTCGGGTTGTCTTTTTTACCGTCGAGGAGGTGACAATAGATTAACAGCCTTGCGGTTTTGTTACCAGATTGCGATGACGTACTTTTTTTCTGAGTTGTTCTTTATACGAAAATAAAACGTGTCATACGTGTCGGTTAGAAAGCTATTTTCACCACTTGCTTGGAGGACTCTAAAATTAACGCAGTAAAACTCAGTCGCAACCGTTTTTCAAATTCATATAATTAGTGATACAACAATTTGAAACCATTCTCAACTATACTTCCTACGCGCCAACAATCGGCAAGTGTAAAATTATATTCTGCGGAAGATGAGCCTTGCCGTCTGTCAAAGTTTCTCGAACTTTCACGATCGAAGAAAAAAAAGAATTTGTTCTCGTCTTTTTCTCTTCGATAGATATCTATCAGACGCGCACATGTGTGTGCGTGTGCGCGCGCCTGACTCACGCGTAATTAACCGACCGCATCCACAAATAATATTTTCCTTCCTTCGTTTTCTCTCTCTCTCTCTCTCTCTCTCTCTCTCTCTCTCTCTCTCTCTCTCTCTCTCTCTCTCTGTCTCTACTTGGCTAGGTTGATGATCTAACGTTTAGCTCGCGGAATATTTCATGCTTCGCAGGACCCTCTCTCAATTGGAAATGTTCAGCCGGTGAAAAACGTATAAAAACAAATATGAGACTGCGCGCGAGTGTTTTACCATCGGTAAATCTAACTGCGAAGCGCTCAGGTCATTGTTCGCGATCGCTAGTTAAATTTAGATCGCGTGTACGTGCTGCGACCCTTCTTTTCGGTCTCATGCGAACGTAAATTTCGGTCGCCGCGATTTAAGCAAAAAAGCGCCAGGACAATTGCACCGTTTGACGAGCACTTGACATTCGCGTGCTCGACTCGCGCGGCGCAGAGCTTCATCGCCGCATTAATCTGACGTCGAGAACAAGCATATTGTTATCGAGTAGCAGGCAGACGTGTGTATCTTGAAAACGAGATTGGATTTTCAAGACGACCTAATTATCGCATTGCGCCGCGCTTTTCGCTGAAGCTTTTACAGACAATGGCGTGCTGTTTATTAGGCCAGAATCGATGTACAAGTTATCTAATTGCGCAACGTTATTGTATCTTGCAGCGCCAGCAGAAGAGAATTCAAATGCAAAGCGCCGAGACAATGTCACTGACAATTAGCACGTCGTTTGCTTTCCTCTTCGCATTTCGCAAATCTTTAATGCAATGGACATTCAGCGTGGCAGTTTGCATTTTTATTCAATTACGGACGATGTCACAAATATAAATTGCTTGCTCGTCGATTAAAAGGTGACCGAAAGTGCGCGTAAGTAACGATGGCGAAGACTAATTTCTCCCAAGATCACTTGACGGAAATTCATCCTTAGCGAAACGGAAGAACAAATAAATAAATAAAGCGTACAAAAGGAAATGCCGTTGAAGCATCCGTCTCACTGTAATTTATTTGGAAATGGTGATCCTAACCTCACTATATTTACAGGTATATACTATACGCTAGCCCCTCTCACTTTGAGTTAGGCCTTCGCGAAAATTCCGTGAACAGCCGAGCGAGTGCATCGAACCGTTATTGCTCTTGTGCGTGTATGTCGCGCGATTGGACTTTCCTTTCGCGTTACGCTCGCACGAGGAAGAAAACTCGTCGTCATCCTCGCCTACACAACGCAGAAAGGTTGCAAAGAGAGCCATCATCGATCGTAAAACCGCACATTAACACGCTCGGGCGTAGAGTTGACATTTCAATCATCGGACGCAGTAGTTGAACGGGCCGAGCGAAAACGTGGCTACGGATAATGACGTTAATGGCAATGTCAATTAGACCTCGATACGAGAAATAAAAAACTTTGTAGACGAGAGAAAGGAAGGAAATCTTAACTTTATTACTGAAAGATCGCGTGCTGTGGGCTTTTCCACTGAGAGAAAGGAGAAATTAAGCCTTCGCCACGATAGACGAAACAATAAGCGACGCGCAGGTAAACGGATCGATCGCGTACACACTTCACCTTGCGCTATTTCGTGCTCTTGATAATTTAATCGGCGATGCATGATATTTCGTCAACAACGCGAGCCTCTCGCAAGTTCTATCGCCATGACATCACCGACAATGGTACAACGCGTGACAACGACACGCAGATAGTCCGAGAGCTGGTCCCAAATAGTGCACGAGGAAGCGATATGTCGTGAAAAGAACGAACCGACGATTAATTTACGCACATTGCACAACTACATTTTTGCCTCGTAGAAGTGGGGGCTTTGCCGATGGCGGCCGATTCAAATAAGCGTGAATATTTTTTGCGATAGTGGCTTTTATCGCGGAGGCATTTGCAAGGGTGGTCAAATATTGGCAGACATTTTGCAAGGGTCAAACGTGACCGCAGAGCGGGGAGAGCACGAGTTTTGCATGTGCGGGCGACAAACGACAAAGTAATGAATTCTGCAGTTAGTTTCTATCGAAGAGCCACGTTGCAATCAAGTGATTTTTTTATTGGCAGATATTTTTCGCGTGGCAAACGTGTCAGTGTAGAGTGCAAGAGGGAAACTTTTATTTTTATGCAACGGGAAAACATCAAAGGGATGCATTGAGCGGTTTACGGACAGATATTTTATACGCAATACATATCGTATTTATCCACAAAGACATTTTTACCGGGCCATAAGTTCTCAGAAAGGTCTAGAATGGTCGTGCCACAATGCGAGGAACACGCTCTATCAAAAAATATACTTTTTCCATTCAATTATTTATAAATAACTTGATGGAAAAAAACACGGCTATTGTTTTTACTTATGCAATGAATGTTAGTTTAAGGCTATCTAGCCTATATTCGGTACTAATGGATTGTATAATGCTCGGTATAATGGTCCCTCATCAACATTTACGTTGATCGATCCAAATTTATTCTGTCAAACAGTCTACAAATTTTATTCTTATAGCATGTAAACCCCCCCAACAAAAAGAAACCGCATGACGTATTAATTTTGTATAATTGTTTTTTTTTCGTACAAATTATAAACGTGAGATTGATTAATTCGAAAGCACGACTTTCGCTAGACAGGATATATGGCCCCTGGAACGTTCGATAAGAAAATTGCCTTTAATTAAACATTCATGGAAAAAATCATGATAAACAGAGCACTGATTGCAACACTCTTTGTTGCGCTATACTTACAAAAAAATGTTATGACTATTCGCTGCTGTTTCGTCTCATTATAGCTTTAAAAAATTCGGGAAACAAACTTTGCAATAAACGATAATCTTTGCATGACATAATCGGTGTTTGAACTGATAGATAAGCGTGCTGACAAATTACTATTAATATTGTATAGCAAAAGTCTGCCCTAAGAGCCTGCATCACACGTATGTTGAGTATACTAAATACATTTGGAAGAGTCTTCCTCCACGCTGTCACTCCTCGAAAAAAAAAAAAAAAAAACCTATAGTTTCCCGATTGTTCTGAAACTTTGTAAACGTGCTTATTCTAACTAGTGTACTCGGAATAACCGCAATAGATACAAAGATTCTCGAAACTTGTTAAAAAAATAACACAACAAAGACGAGAAAGAAAAACTCACGGCTCGGAAATGACAGGTGCGATCTTGAGAATGGTGGATAGGAACGCTTGATCCTTGCATATAAGCTGTGGTTTCTGTGGTGCGCTGTTGACATTAAGAATCCTGAATAGAATAATCAGGATCACAGCGAAAATTGCCAATAGTGCCGTCGACATCGTTGCCTCCCTTTCTCAAACGTGTTCCTCCTCGCGATCCATAGGAATGGCAAAGAAAAAAATTAAATATACCAACACGACTGCCAACGCGAAGAGAAAAGAGCCCCCCGGGTGCGGCTCTGCTGTATGTTTTAAGGTTAGGTTTGCGCACCCATCGAGCGAGTCGCTTTTCTCCGTAAAGCTGAGCAGACGCGAGACGACTGACGATTGTGCCGGCGGCTGAACGACGTGCGCGTAAACACCGCTCTCTGTCCCCGCGCAGCCAGGCTGAGTAAAGGCAAAGTGGTGTATAGTGGGGCGCGGCCTTTGCGCGCGACGAAAGGTGCTTCTAGTAGATATGGATTGTTTTGGACAATTTTTTCACGCGGAAGTAAGTGTTACGAAAGAAGGGGGATCGTGTGAGGAAGTCGGATGATTATATTTTTTTTGTCGCAATAGTTAAGATCCATTTGAAGGACTAAGTCGAGTAAAGAATAATAATTCGATAATGATAATCGGTAAAATTGCGAGAACAGAATATAAAATTTTGATACTTTAATAATAGTATTACTATACTCAACGTAGGAAAAGGTAGAATGCAAAGTGAATTTTTTCTTAATAGAAACTTAATTCAAAATGAAATGCAGAGAAATTGCAGTGTACATACTTCAATAAATACTATTAAAATAGGAAACTCTTTTACGATAAGTAAAAAGACTAAAGACGTTGAAAGCACTGAAAACAAATAGTTATGTAGTTATAATGCAAAAAACGCAGAAAATGATTTTTACAACATGTAATGTTTAATACGTGTTCACCCGATTGGCATTTTTATCCATTCGTTATTTTAACAACCGAGTCCTCTTTATTGACCTTTCAGTTATTCAGAAAAAGATAATTTTATAGTTTCAGCGAAAAATTTTTTGGTAATATTTGTTTATGTCGAATGGCTTGAGAGAAAAATAATATTATAAACGATTTGAAAATTTCAATTCAAATCACAATTTATCGCAAAGTTTATTAAGAACTTTAGTTCATCGTGAAGATCAAAATTTAAGTTGTATATTGTGATAATCGTGTAATTATTGAATTACCTCCAATACAAGGCTTGCATATTCGATTACTTCTCACTCTCGCTCTTCTCTATCATTGCATAAACCATTACAATTTCTACTTACTACGCTAGCATCCACATATTTATACACAACAATCAATACATCACCGAACTTTCTCCAGCTCAATTTCTGCCAAACCCGGACACCTATAAGCATTTACCTCCAAAACTTCGCAAAAGATTTTCTCAGATATAAGAATTACAAATTAGTCTCCAGCCTCATAAAGAAACTCTCTCGGGAATTTCATTTCGCTTGGTAATCGTGAATTACTCACTTGAGACGCGTGATTTTTGTTCATCTACTGAATTTCATTGAGTCTGCGCGCAAAGCTGGGAGATTCAAAAGTTCTACATGAGCATTGTACATATCAGTTATAGATTCTGAACCACTTATGCAAAAATTAACACGAAAGAGGACAAATAATAATGCTGTTTCGCATTAGCGTTGATGATTAATCTTTTTTATACGGACGCGATATTTAAAGTCTCTATTGATTTTTCAGTTATCGACTTGAATAATGTACGAGCCAGGACATAGCGACACTCGCACGTGCCCACCTCGTTAAGAGCATAAATACGCAAGCTTTCAATGGTGTTTATAAACCGTGAAATAAAGGCGTTAGCTTGCAAGCTCGTTAATATCGGGTTACGCGTTTATTTTGCACACGACAAACTCGCAACAATGTACATTTCGCTCGGTTATATCGGCGAAACGTTTTCACCGATTACACTTCGACTGACGCGCTCGAGCGAGAACCGCGCGTGCGCGCCGCTTTACGCATCGTTCGAAACGGACGATTTGCATCGCTTTGAAACTTCGATTGACCCGCTTTTCCGCCAATATACATTGGGGCGACGCACGGCTCATCGTCGGATTTCACGTTGCAGCCGTTTGCAAACGAATTGATCGAAACTGCGTTGTTACGACGGCAAATAAAAAAAAGAAAAAAAAGAGGAGCCTTTCGAACGCGCTCTACGCGCTGCGAAGTGCGCGAGTGGAAGGCTTGCCGTTTGCAAGCTATACTGCCTATCTCTTTCGCTTTAACCGTCTTTGAAAGCGGACAATGCAAATTTTTTTTAAGAAAGCCGTGTTATGCATTCTTCTTCAAATCGTGATTTACATGGCACGAGCCGTATTTCAGCGTTGTTTATGGGAGAAATTTCGTCTATACGCTATATTTTAAAACTAACGATATAGAAAAAAATATATATAAGCGCGCGACGTTTCGAGATAGATTCGGCCCTAAAAATAACGCCGGTGACCTAAAACTGAATATTTCCAAGCCCATCCGTTGTTTCGAATAACTAACTCGTGAACTTTCTGCGGCATATTAATTTCAATTAAATACTAATTTATTACGAGTCAAGGTCTTGATTCTTGATATTGTTTTCTTCCAACTAAAACCAAAAAAAATTCGCCTTAGCGTTATCGCATATCTCATAATAGTGACATTGTTGAAACGCATTGCCGAGGCATTTATTGCTCTTAATTACATTTTACTGTACAATATTCACTTGATCAAAAAAAAGTGCACTTGAATTTCGCTTAAACTCATGTGAAAGTTACGCTGGAAAGTTCACGCTACGTTTTGCAGGAAACTTGAAAAGCAAAGTTTTGCGTGAAATACAGGTAAAACGATTGATGGGTTTTTATTTCGGCGTTCATTGTGATTTTTTTTGTATTGCGAAACGGTGTCAGTTTATTTTTTATTACTTCTGTCGCCTAACAAGAACGATTATTTGAAAGCCTTTCACTATGTAAATGGCCAACGATCACTAGTGTACATGGGGTTGATGTTAATATATAGCGGGTTCAAAAATTTAATAAATGAGAAAGTGTACCTTTTTTAATGATTCGAAAGAAGAATAAAAAATCGAATGTTCCGCAAGAAGGTGAATATAAAACGGTTATTATCCGATCTAAAACCATATGTAGAAAGTTCGTTTAACTAACTAGTCGATAGGATAAAAGTATTTCTGTGCGATGATAGAGCTCATACACTACTCTAAAGCCGGCTCAACAAAACGTACTAAACGCAACAGCGCCGACTATCGATTCAACAATAGTGTATAGGCGCAACTCAGCGACTACAAGTATAAGCAGTCCGTTTATTCAAGCGTTCAAGTTCTAGATTTTGTACGATCAGCTCAATTTGTTATTTTTCGACGCAATCTATTCATTAGCGCAGTCATCGTACAACCTATAATGTGATTGAAGAGTTCGAAGACTTTCGCTTCTTAGGTAAATGTCACAAAAGCGTTAGACGGTGGTAAGTTTTGCCATTTGATTTGTCGATTTAATCGCCACATTATCATAAATACTCTATTGATTATTGTGAAATGGTTCGTTTTGTTTTTCTTTTGGCATTGACGAGTGCACCGCGAACATATAATGCACTCCCGTCAACTGTAATTGCAGCACTCGCGCATAATTTATAAACACTTATTTTACGACAAGATGTAATGCCAATCAAATAAACAATTAGTTATTATTTGTGTATTTTTGGGTACTGCGTCAGCAATGATTTCATGATTTTCTTTTGATACGATTGGCATTTCGCGATAAGGCTAAATGGCATTACCTTGTTCGCGATGACTCATTGCAAATATATTTGGACGCTTCACCGAAAAAGAAGAAAAACAGAAAAACAATTACACATGGCCTAAAGTAACATTACGTATCTATAGAACGCGTCATCTACGGTTGACTTTCAGAAAAAAAAACATCGAAATGGTTTTGTCTATACGTTGTCCGATGATTCAAAGGAAAAAAAAGTTTCACTTTTTTTATTTGCGTCGTCTTTTCGAAAAACAAATTCAGCTAACAGCCTCGCACTAAATTGTATCAACTTTTTCCGTAACTAAGCATTAATTTCACATCGAAAACAGATCGACATCACCAAGAAGAATATAGCTCGTCATGGGAGAAAAGAGTAAGAAGAAGGGGACAAGCAAGAAAAATGGAAAAAATGGCAACGGGGGTGGTGGTGGGAAGGCAAAAGGTAAAGGTGGCAAAAAATCGTCGAGAGGATCAAAACGTAGCGGAGGAAAATCAAGGTTCACAATGGATATCTTCAACGAGGAGGCGATGGAGAATGCTTATTATACTTGCCATAATATCATGGATGTGCTGTTCTGTCGGGGGTTCCCTTGGCCTCACGCTCAAAAGAAAAAGAAAAAGGGCAAGAAGTAGATGCTATGTTTTTGATGAGAGGATACGATGTGAATTCTGATTCTATGAGTTACAGTCTTATAATGTATACCTTATTTTTAGTTGATAATACGGCTAAAGCTCAATTGCATTTGATTTCACGGTACAATGTTTTACAATAATGAGGCTGAATAAATGATGCATAAAAAAAGTCGATGTACCTAAAACTGTGCTTTCATTACACTTCTTTAGTTGTAACCCTTATAGGTATCACTTTTGAGCCATTTTTCCAAACAGTATGTCCAAAAGTACAGTTTGCGTAACTTTTTATTCATCTAAATAAACTTATATTTTGTACGGATAAGCCATTAAATCGCATTGACGCAATTGGGCTTGCTTAAGGCGGCTTGGTAATCAATATTACATTTTTGTAATTGAAGATGAATTAAATCACTATTTATACTTGTATTCATACTTATTTTTCAAGTGCTTTATCGATTTTCAAGTAATATTAATAATTATTATTTGAGTTATTCGATATAATATTGTTATGCATTACTTCCCTGACATTGAACGTAGAGAAAAACAAAAAGCGTTGCCAAGCAATTAGTTGTTTCCGTTGATTTTATTATTATTAGTCAGTTGAGTTGAGTTTAGTGACTAATAAAAGCGATATTGTGTTTAACCTCTTTGTACGAACTAATAAATACGCTCGAGTTCTTTTATAAATAATTATCATTATTAATATATAAGCGAGTGATATAACAATATGTATTTTGCTTTTTCTTTTGATTCAAATAAGCAACTTTCCAAATAGTCTATGTGAAATCATTGAAGATATAATTTATTCTTTCTACTGCAATGAAATTTGATATTTTTATCAAACTTTTGTTACAAACCCACCTTGCTAAAGCAAATACGAGTGTTATACTTAAGGTATCTCATATATTCAAATATTTTCCTACAGGTACTTAATGTACCTTTGCTGCGTTTTATGTGAATATAGTTCTTGAAATAACACTAATACTAATAATAATATATCCTTCGTCTCACAATAGTGAAATATTGAAAGACTCATACTGCACAATACCACTTGAAAAGCAGGAATTTTACGATTGACGCATTCCGCATTGTTTACCAATCAAGTTAATATTTTGCGATTGAAGCTTTTGATAGCACTAGCAGTTTTGTAATGTTGTCTCTAGATTGTTTTACGAGTTGTTTATTTTAGTGCTTTTGATTTGCGAGGTTGTAAATTAAACTACTTAATTGCATATTGTTAGTGTTTTTTATAGAAGGAATCAAAGCGTTCAATCATCAAATTTTAAGACGGTATTTTACTGATTCATAAGCAAAGTTTTATGTCAGAAATAAGTATAAATAACAAAATGTAATTAAGCTTTGACAAAACAAAAAAACATGAATATTTCGCAAATTCAATCAAACACTTTGAACAACTTCGAACACTGAAGTCTCCTTCGGTCATCTTTTAAATCAATCATAGAATGTATAGGTTTGTTGTAAATAATAAAACATAATTTACACGTGCAAAATACATTACTTTCTCGCAACATTTTTTATTCAAAATATCTTTGATACAAGCTTATTCAAAGATTATGATACTATAATTTCTAATCTTAAACTATTCCTGCTTTCTTTTTTTAATCGTTTTTAATTTTTTATTTTTGTATCAAAATTCGATATAGATTTATTCTTTTGAGGTTTGAACTTTTTCATATTCTCTCGCTTGTGCAAATAAAATCGAGCCAAGTCATCAAAAACGAAGAACAAATGTACATAAAGGTGAGCAAAGATTAGCAAGACACAAGTTACAAGTACTTGATGTTGTGCGAACTGTTTGCCAGAGGCAAGTATAAAAATGACAAAGATAGATCTTTTCAGGCGTACAAATTTTATAAAATACAGAAGTTTTCTTTACATTATAACTATTTTACGAAACAAATATATTTTACCAATAATTAAAGAGATGCCTGTTAGTGAAATTTGAAGAAAGTTATATTTTATATTTATACTTTCTTGGAAATTTTACACTACATACGACCTTAAAGATGAAAGCTATCACAAATACTTAATTTAATGTTCATATCTGATCATTAGTGTTGACAGTTTGTTTTGTAATTAACTGTGATTAACATAGTTGCACTACTGTTTCTACAATGTGAAATATAAATGTAAATACATATCACGACGTTATTACTATTTATAAGCTTATTTAAAGTGCATTATCAAATAAAATGTCAAACATGATAATTTTTTTTTTGTTCCTCATTCTAAGCTGTAACTCTAATGATCAATTGACTAAGCTCAGATATTTATTATCATGTATAAATTGAGAATTTTGATTGGACTCTTATAGAATGTTATAGATCACTGATTTGTTTTGTTTTATGAAAGAAAAAAATAATTTGAAAACTTTGTCTCCAACCTCGATTCAAAGTATCGACTAAAAGACTTAAAAACTTTTAAATGACGAAATATAAGAAAAATCGTTTCCGTGACTATTATTTAATGACATTAATAACATTCATACGAGACTAAAAATAATATCGCTGTAGGAATATGTTACTTTCTTATTACATTGAAAATAAGGATGCGAGAATGATTTACTTTTTACCAGACAATAAATTGTAAACATTCTAGTTTCCTTTGTAAATATGAATTGATTATAACTCACTTTAATATCAGTGTACTTATCAAAGATAGGCATCTTATTCAAAAATTTTTTTTAGAATTTTAAATAAAATCAATCGATCAATCAATCAATCAATAATTAAGAATGATGACAAACTGCAATCTTATTTTAAAAAGAATGTCAAATAATTTTTTTCAGCAGTGTTTCTTGTTCATATTATTTGCATTTGTATGCTGTGAATTGATTTCCAACACATGTGTGAGATCACCTTTTAAATATTAAACTAATTTTATATCTTGTCACATGCGATTCAATGCACCATATGATATATATAGTCATGATTTGTATCAGTTTCATAAGTATTGTATCTCTATTGTTAATTACAGGTTTGAATGTCATCATCAAACATAATAACCTCAACTACACGTAGATAAAATAGTATATGCAAGAAACAAAGACCTTTTTTTGACATACCTTAAAAAAATCTAATGATTATCAAATAAAAAAAGCCTATTCTCACATTAAATGTTATAGTCCACATTACAGCCAATGAAAAAATGAATATCTCATTTCATAGGAAAATTTTGATTTACATAAAATATATATGATTTACATACTTTTCAGGAGTAAATCACCTTAATTTCACAAACTTATTGTCAGAACAAATGATACTATCGCTTTAGATGATGACGGGAAATTGCCATGAAAGAAAGTTAAACCTATATTAATAGAATTATTCCTTTGCTTCAGCTTCTTCTGTAACAGAAGTACCTGTAACAGAGTCCTGTGGTACAGACTCAACTGCTGTTTCTTTTTTAAGACTCGTTACTTCTTCAACTTTAGTTAGCTTAGATGACTCTGAAATAAAATTTTTTTTATTGAAATGAATACTTTTATATTACTAACAATTGATGCAACATCATGTAAAATACCTGTAGGATCAACTAGCAGAGAGAATAATTCTTCATCATTCAAATGTGCAGTGTGTTTCTTGAACTCTTCCAACTGTTTGACAAACACATGCCAAAAACTTTCACCCTCAGAAATTTCAAAAAGTGTCTAGAGAAAAAAAGTATTTTAATAATGAAAATTCAAAATAAATATTAGGAAAGAAAACAAATATAAATTATCTATTATTAGTTTACCCTGAATTTACTATAGATTTCTTCTGCTTTCTTTTTTATTTGTTCTGCCTTCTGTTTAAAAACAATCTACAAAATTAAAGTAATAAATCATTTTATAAAAATTCATTCTTAATTTAAATTATTTGTAATCTAAATTAATACACACTGTTTCTTCTTCACTCAATTTCCAGTCTGGAAGATTTCCAATATATCGTCTTAACTAAAAATAAAAATATGTAATCAAAATATTATTGCCTAAATTTATGGTCTATTATAAACATTTTATTCACCCTCTTGATAGTTTCAACAATATGGGAATGTTTTTTCAACATCAAAGGTGTAATTTCATATTCTAATAGTTGATCTAATGCATCTAGACAATCATTAACATTTGCTTTGTCAAGACCCAAGCTTGACCTTATCTGTGTATCCAAAAATAATATATGTGATTCTAATCGTAAGGTTCTGAAAAAATAAATGAAATATTTAATAGTTATTTATAAATTATGAGATCACACAGTATGATTGACTATATTGTTTTTTCATTTATGTAAACTTACAGTAACTGATTCATAATTCTACTCAAACATTCAAATTGAAAAAATTACATAAAAATTATTCAATTACAGTAATAGTTATATGGAATTTTTTATTTTAAATGTATTAGATATACCAGATTGAATCAACTAAAATATCTACTTCATTATTTTATTTTTCGTACAGATTTCGGCAACGTACATAGTTATTATAATGATATTTATGCCTTGTGATTCTACATATTTTTTTTATCGTATAGTAAAACCTATTATCATTTAGGTTATGTTTAGGAATTCAGAAAACCGTTGCATGCATACATTTTTACAACCTGCCAATTACTAAATTATAATTTTTAATAAAAAACTTTAAATAATTTTAATCTGTCTGGTGTATGAACATTAGAATGCCAAATTATGAAACTAAACATAACTTATATGGCTTTTCAAAAATAATGATAAGTCTTTTGAATAACTTCTATAGTAGAACATAAAACGTGAATAGCAATGGCAAAATAATGCACTTACTTCAACTTTGACTGATTTTGTTCAGCCTCCACACTGTCAATAAGTACGGTCTTTTTATCATCTTCTGGAACAAATCCGTAAAAAAATGAGCATATGTAAACAAATAGAAATTCGTGACATTGTTTGAAGGACATTGCTTTACAAAAGATATAAACGCGCTCTCAAAAATGTCTAAAGATGTCGGAACATGGTCATGCGCACCCTATATTAAAATCCCGTTCTTATACCTGCTTTGTGCAACTCACTTTTTTTTCAAATTAACATTGCAAGTAGATTATCTGCGCGTTAATTTCGAGCGCTAAAAGTTTTTCTCAACTGTCGTCTAATGTTTCAACCATACTTCCTCTTTATATTAACAAATTAAAACAAGATTTATTTAAGCTTTCGTCTAGGTAATTTGAAAATTCTTATAGTGGTTTTGTTAAGGCCTTTCCCATAATAATTTTATTTATATTGTATAATCCATTAATTGTAAATTAACAATTTATCAAAAGACAGTTATGAAAGTTTTATATAGAATTTGAAAGTACATTGAATTTTATAAAGCATATAAAGCATAAGCAAAATTAGTGATTAAGATCCTTTCTTATTTCTATGTAGCACGTAAAATACATGTTTAATGGCTGATTTCTTGTTTTATGATTATTCTTTGCTATATTAAAATTAGAATTTGAAAAAATGATCACAAAAATAATTTACATTGAAGAATTCTAGTTGATTCATACAACTATTATAGTAAAAAGTGCAAAATTAATAAATGATTTTAGTTGAGATCAAAGTATATATAACAACAAAGTATATATATCAAAAACAAACTTTATCTTATTTATTATATTGCGCAACCAAAAATATATTTTAACATGATTTTTTAATTTTATCTAATAATAAAACGGCTGCGTGATATTCGTGATCACTTCCCAAAACTCCGAATTCATTTCAATATAGAATAATCGTAAAGCAAATTATCGCTCATTCACTATATGTTTCTTTATATCTTATAGAAGCAGAAAGGACCTGCGAAGCAAAAGCATTTATCATTTTCGTCTTTTGCTATCAGCGATAAATTGACACTTACTCTCAATGCCCATCCTCTTTTTAATTGGTGTAACTATATCCTGATTTTCGTTGCTATCTTCAGTTTTACTTTTTGTTCTACTTCTTGCAGAATGCTCTATAACAAATATCAAATTACTCTATTGAAGCAAGTACTAATAAAATTACCAAAATGATTGAAAATACGATTTTTCAAAAGTATATCTTTAATATTGTATCTATAAATAAAGCCTATGTCAACCAATTATTTATTTTGTAAAAATAGTTTCAATATACATGTAAAATGTGTCATAAAAATAATACTTTGTAAAAACAAAAGAAAATAGTCAGCATAAGAGAAAAAAATCAACTAAAAAAGTAGTAACTGGAATAAAATCTGTAACCATTAATTTTTTTTAGCCTAACAATTATAACAAAAAGGAAGTGGTTGTTTCATATTACTAAGTGGCTTGTAGACAAATCAAGTGCAATTGGTCTAATAACACTAATCTTAACAATTGTTTTATTGTTAATGTAAGAGTCTCATCACTTTCCGAATTTTTTGTTTTATTTTCATTATTCCCGATTTCAACTTTTTTCTTGATCGAATAATCAAATACAATAGGCAGATCATAATTGCTGTATGCCTTTAAAGATTAGTTGTCCATAAAAAAAAGTGGAATAAAGGAAATCACTGATTAAATTTTTTTTCGTTATATGTATAACAGAAAATACAATTTTCTAGATGAGTTGCAAATAAGCATGATAATAAATAATGAAATAAAGAAGCTTCTCACCATTCCTTGATGAATCAATTGAAATTTCAGCATCAATACTATCATGGAATCGTTTAGGTTTGATTTTCCTACCACTTCGACTGACTTTTTTGTCAGAATCCTCATCTTGAGAGTCCTGTGATGTAGTGTCTAATTTTGCATCTAGTTTTGCACTATTTTCTGCTAATATCGTAGCCATACTTTTTCTTCCTCGTTTTTTCTTAACTTCTGTAACATCCTATAAAATATTGAAGGATAAGTTTCATTGATAAAACAAAAAAATATTAAATTTGTTAAATGCTTTTTCTGATGAAAAAGAGAATGTTAGGGGTAATCGCACAAACCATTCAGACTTAATAATGGCCTGTCGGCAACTCCTTAATTGATATTGGGATTATCAAAAACAACAAGTTTAACTTATCCAATGTTGAATTACCATTTGATTGATCCCAGACATTATAAGTAACTTTGATAAAATATAATTAAAACTTACAGGTGTATTAGGTACTACGTGTGACTTTCTCTTCACAGTTTTTTTTTTGTCTGTTTCATCTATAACAAGGTTTCCGGCATCAGTGTCTTCATCACCAGTTGTTGGTTGATTCATTGAATCATTTGATGCTACAGTACTATCATCGGCTGCATTTTCAGGTACATTTTCAATCGCTTCAGTATCTGAACCTACATAAATCAATTAATAAATAGACTGATATCTACATATAATTTACAAACTACATTGCTAACATACCTTTTCCAGAATCATCAAGTGTTGGATTGGGATTCTTTCTAAGATCCTCTTCCAACTCTTCAATTCCTTCATGAAAATATTTTCGTCGAACAGTTTTACTGAATTTATCTTTGTTTTCTGCATATCTAAAAAGATCTTCAATTTTGCATGTTCCACTGAAAAATATCATAGCATTACAAATAATAACAAGATAGAAGCATTTACTTTATTTACAAGTATGATTCTTTAAGTGCAAAACATATATAAGTGTGTGTATATTGAACATGATATTGACAAAATGCTACATGTTTCAAATAAAACAATTAAATGAAATACAATAGTAACTTACATTTCCTTAGTACCAAAAAACACCACATGGTACTTTGCCTGCTTTGATGTAGGGTCTGTAATACTTTCAATCTGAAAATGCACAAATCAAAAGATCAAAAATCCGACATACCACCATTGTATCAAGAACAACACATTTTCTCAACTCCCAAAGCATCACTTCCACAATAAATTAGCTACAAAGTCGACTACTAAGCTACTACGACCGCATATAAACGACATTTTAATTCAGAACAAGTCGTAAGAAGTCAAAGAAAGATGAATATATCAACAAAAAAACAATTCACCTTAGCAGGCCAAGGCGGATAACCTCGCACCTTAGCGAAGACGCGCTCACCGACGCTAAATTTGTTAACCAGTTTAACCATTATCTTATTGGTGGTCCCGCACTAAATAGATGATTTTAGGTGCAGATAAACACCTTCTTGAGGTTGCTTTATATCCTCGTACGTGCACCAAATTTACAGCGTGCTTTTCCTCTCGAGAATCGATCACACACAAGTAAAGGGGCGATGAGAGAACCGAGAAAAAAAACACCGAGCGTCGCTCTCTAGTCTCTATATAGGTCTCTCTCTCTCTTTCTCTCTCTCTCTCTCTCTGTCTTTCTCTCTTTCTCTTTAGACGACGTAACCCTCCACAATCCACTGTGTCTGTGTGTCCCAGCGCTGCTGTATTCACTGTGTTCACGGCTCAGGCCAGCAGGCTGTATACATGTGTATGTATGCGCATGTCATCACTGATCGCATACATTCTACATATGTATCATGAAGACTGCGTAGTGTAGTACGTATAGTATTAGTGTATGTACATAAATTTTTACGACACAGTTGCCGTTTGGCCATAGGCTTTCATTAAATAGCATTGCGCATGCGCTTTTAATACACTACATAGCCGAGGAGATGGAGGGAATCAGGAAAACTAACTTATTTGGTATGCAAGCTCAATGTTTGACAATTTACGGCAGACAACATTTATAATTATTTATTTATTTTTTATCAACTATCTCAAATCGTGAAAGTGTTAATGATTACGGGTTGTTTCCTGATTTTATTTCAAAATCATTCCTAGCTATTATCTAATATTTATATTTTTTATTTGTTGAATCATTTTCTGTGATAGTGCTTTCCCTTTTCTTTACACCCGCATTGATGACGCGATAATCTTTATAACAATTTACAGGCATCTAAAAATGTTGTAAGAAGTAATTCCAATAAACTTTCAAACAAGATTTTGCTTTTAAGTTGCATACATATTTTAAAATTAGTCATACAATGTACATACATACAGAGCATGTATTGTATATAAAGAACAATTACATATAAGTTGAAATAATAAAACACTAATAAGTAGCTGAAAACTTATGCTATTTAATAAATTACAAGTTTTATATAAAAAATAATATTGTTAAGTTATATTTTAAAGGTCCAAAAGATTCTAGCGATACTCTAGAAATTAACATAAGGGAAAAGGGAGAATTTTTTTAATTCTTGACAGTTTAATAAATCTAAAGGACTTGATTTTCAAATTATGAAAATTTTTATTCAAATAGTAATATGATTGCTACATATGCTAATATTTTATACAAAATATTAGATATTTTATTGATTGAACTTATTTGAAGTATTATATTCTATTATAAATAAAAATATTTTTCTTGGCTATGTAATTACAAATTCATTTCTTATATCAATGAATTGTTTATCCATTAAAATGACAAAAAGAGTGATAATTATGCAGTTTCTCCATTTACGTACAAAAGATTGATCTAAATTTTTATGATAAAAAAATTCATCAATCATATTCAACGAATACCATAATTTACAATAAATCATTAAAATCAAATGTTCAACTCACATTTTCATAATTCTATGATTGTTATTTCGCTATTTCATTCTTAAATTTGAGATACAATATCAAATACTTTATCTTGTTTACTGGTAAAATCAAATTGATGGTCCCTTTTTCTTTTCGACAACCACATTTGTCTAGTATTTATGTCGCTGTAGAAATATGCATGCAATGAAAAATATTTATAGCTGCTTCCCTGTAATAGTTTTTGTAAATTATAGATTCCAATGCTTGAAACAATTATTGATAATGTGAAAATGTTTGTAATTAATCATATTTAGAGCATTTTGTGCAACATTGATGATTATTTTTTGTATCCTGATAGAGAATTCATTCAATGATGATATCGGGCTAATTTTATTTCTTATGTTTATAACAATAAAATATTAATGCACATCATAGTCAAACTGAGAATTACAGACCACCATTGGAGTTTTTTTCAAAATAACGGCTGCACCAAACCCTCTAAAAGTGGTGTAACACTCTAGCTACAAAAATTTATCAATAATAATTATTTCAAATATGTAGGATCTATAATTTATACATTGGAGAAGAGTTACCACAAATTTTATCTACTGATAGTATGATAAGTATGTAGCATGATTTGTTTTTGTTCAGATTTATTAGAAAAAAGTCAAAGTACAAATATTTTAACTTGTTATTGACTTCCATAGTTTTATGAAAAAGAAAATCGTACAACAAATCTTTTTCAAAACGTTTTTTAGCAAAATAATTTTCAAATGAAATTTAAAGTGTTATAAATTATTTTTCCAATAATATATGTACTCTGTGTAATAATAAACGTACTTTTGTAAAAATCCAATTTAATTAAAATTGTATTTGGTCATTGTTTATTACATATATTACAAATCACCATTGCAAAGATTAATACTTATATAGAGTATTGTTATTTTATAAATTAAAGTACATTTTTGTATAACAATCGCTTTATATTTCATAATATTTATAAAAATACTCAAGAATACTATACTTTAATAAAAAAAATACAGCCATTAAGAAACAGTTTCAGTCGTTATTTCAATAAGAAAATTTCTAAGATTAAAAAAAAATTGTTACAATACAGTAGTATACTTTTTACTTTAGTATGAATACGAACCGAAGTACTGTTGAAAGTCTACATGCAAAGCAATAAAATTGTCACTATGATTCTCTCTAATTAGATCTTTTAGTTTTAATTTGTGTTTTATACAAAAGTTTGAGCAACCACAAAAAGTTTGCCATACCCCGGTATTCCTCAACAAAGTAATGTTAATAATAAATAGATGATAGTTGTTGAAATATATGTTGAACCATCTAGAGTCTAGGAAAACCAAATGATGGATCTGTAGTTTCCTGGCCTGTTGCAGGATAAGTATTTTGAGAAAAAGCCAATGGTTCACTTGTCATTGGCTGGAACTGAATGAAAAAAATTTTATATACTTTTACACATTACCATTGAAAATTATCAATACATAATTAATAGATTCTTACCTGCATTAACTATGCTGTCGGAGGATTAATCTGAGATGGCTGCACAGCAGCAACATTACCAGCAGCCATCTGTTGAGGCTGCTGTTGTTGCATTTGTGGTGGTTGTTGCTGCTGTTGTTGTTGAAGCTGTTGCTGTGGCCTACCCATAGCAGCAGCTCGTGAATGCTGATGCTTTATCATAATGCGTTCCAGTTCATCAACTCGACTGCGCACATGCTGTAATCTGTGCCAAGCCATTTGCAAAACCTTTTGACTTTCATATCCTGATCCTTCGTGAGGTTGTCCTAAAAATTATTGATTATATTTAATAATGACAACATTTGAACACAGTTGATCAATTGATTCATAATTAAGCTTAATTAATCATACAAAAGCTTAATTAAAAGTAATGAAGATCATGCTGATATACCTGTAGACACTTGAGTCAAATAATTAATTTGCTCACTTAGTTTAGATTCAACTAGACCTAAAGTTTTTATGAATTGATGGGTTTGTCCTTCAGCTTGTTTTGAATTGGATTTATCCTTACTCAATTCCAAAAAAGCTTGGCCTAGAGTAAATAATCAAAGTTTGATATTTCTTATTACTGAATGTGAAATATTACAAAATAATACCTGCACTTTGTAAACATGTTATAATGTCCTTTTCAATTGCTTCTAAATTTTGAATTCTTTCCATTGGAGGAGACATTTTGCTTAAACCTCTAGTAACTTAACAAAATTTTAATTACTAGTTGAATTCAATATAAATTACGTACTATGGACGCATAAAGGTAGCGAAAACTAACTTTCTGAAGCAACACTCTGGCAACTACTAACTGTAGACTTGATACTCGAAAACAATGTGCCATAAGCGTAAATTCGTCGATTTATAATCGTCAATACGCTGGCAATCAAAAATCAGTTCATATATCGAATGAATTAAGATAATTAGTTCGGATTATTCGCAATAAATAATTCAATGTTACACTACGCAACTGAAAGTTACCATATTATAATATAATTATACGAACCCAAAAAGGTTATGTTGTTCTTTTGATATATATATGTATGTATATAGCATGGTGACTATATAGTATCTATACTACGTATAATATAGTCTCCATGGTATATAGGCATTCATAGTATCTAGATATACTATGATCTGTGGCTTGATCGTGGTATCACAAGAAATAAAATTAAAAATACGTAAGATGTGATAATTTTTTTTATGAAATTTTATTTGTATCCGGCTGCTTTCGTATCGGTTGGTGTCAGTGTCGGCATGGAGCATAAATTATATAACACTGTACATACTAGTGAAATTGCCGATAATGCTGATTACAATGTTGCCTCGAGCCGATAGTATATTTTCACAGAATGTAGAACACTACTATTAATTTAATCGAATTTGGATTATTGTAGAAATAAATCTTTTGTATTTTTGAATATTTTTATTTGTTCTATGAAACATCTCAGAAAGCTTGATTAAGCTTTCAATAAATAAAGCGTAATCACAAATGTTTAATCAGAAGTAATTCTTAATTTATTTATTTTATTTCGTCATATAAAATTAATACAAAATAAAGGAAATTTGTTTTTATTTACACAGTAAAAAATTATCCATTTCTTTGATAGATCGACAGTAAGTTACGTTTTATTTTGTTTTATTATATGTAATGCAATTAAAATTTATTTTTTGCCAATAAAAAAAATAAGTAATAATTTATTTTTAATCACGTCAAATGCATTCAGTTAAACAAAATCGAGCTTTTGTGTTATAAAATCAACACATTAAAAAGTTGGAAGCATTGTAGTCCCGAAAGATTTTGTCAAAACAGTCATACAACAGTATATTTTCTTAAAACTAACAGTTACCAAATACTTATTCTGGTTTAAGATTGCACATAAGTAAAAACGCAGAAGTCAATTTTGAGAAACAAAAATAAAAAAATTCTACTAGAACCGTAAGTAACTAACAATAGGACCGATTCATATTACTGCATACAGAAGTGCAGTGACTCTAATTGAGTGCAACTTTTAAAAGTTAGGGTAGATAATCTAACCCTAATAACAATTGAAATACTTGCGCACAATGACTATAACTTTGTAATAACAATTTTGGAATGCGATTGAATCATTATCTTGTATCGTAATTTATTGTGCGATAGTTTCGCTATTAATTTCATTATTTAACTATCAAAATACTTGCAAGTCAGTACCTGTGAGTCTCGAAACTATCATTATTTTCTTTTCTCATATATTTTATTTGTTATTATCAATTAAAAGTAAATTGTAAATCGAAAAAGTGTCAGTGAACTTGATTGTGCTTTTCGATAAATTGATCCAAAATTGACTTGAGCATAAGAAGTGATAATACTAAAGTTACTAGACTCGACTGTGTACTTATGTAAAAAAAAACGAAAATGTTATTCTTCTAAAAAACAAAGTAGGTACTCGTTATATCCCTTTGAAAAAATGCAACGCTAAGGCATTTTTATAAAATTCTCCTTGCAACACGACATTATTTGAACTTTGGCTTTCGACGGTCTGAGCATCGCTTATTGTAACACTCTCGATATAATTAGTTCATTCCTTTTTAAAAAATCTGACTAAGGCACGGCGCCATCGATTACGGCCATGCTTCGTTTGACGGTAGCTGCTAGCGATAAACGTGACTTTCGCTCTTCTTCGAGCTGCTTGCACAACTGTGCCACTTGCAATTGCAGATCTGTCATTTGATTCTTCAAGGCTTTAACAGTGTCCGCGAGGTACCTGTTCACAACAAACAATACCTCATTATTAGAAGTTATCAATGATAAAAGCTTTCTTTCCCTTCCGTATTAAAGAGAATCAGATTTTTTACAGAAATGAAAAATGAGAAAATTGTCGAATATTCTAAGAAAAGATAATTATTTGTTATAAATTATTCATAGCTTTTATTATTTTATCATATTGTCTTTTTTATAAGAGTTAAAATCAATTGTTATTTATTGAATCACGGTTTACTTGAAATTACGAATATAATCAAAGCATTAGTTGAAATTAGATAAATGTTCGTTAAATTACTTTAAAATTTAGTTATATAAATTAGATATTCGGTGTGAATAATTTGGTAAATAAAACATATATTAGAACTAGAACACTAGAGCTAAATTTTATAGTTACCAAAATCTTTCGGATATTTTACAGTGAATCGTTCTTGAAATTTTCAACGTAAGTTTACTAATTTGACGTACTGACGGAAAATAATTATATCGTAGATTATAATTTAATTTGAAGAATTTCAAGAAAATACGATATTCTGGTACCATTGTACAGTAGCTACTATCCTTTTTATAAGAGTATTATTCATGTTAAAATGTTATTGTATAAACGTGTACATGCTTTTAAAAACAGGTTAAACGTAATAATAAAATATTTCGTATGTACAAAAGAACAATCTATAAAAGAGCAGCAAATTTTACAAGCAAATATAATAAACATGAAAATCTAATAAATCATTATCTCTATGATGCAAAACAATGAAAATACATATATCATTCAGGCCTTAAATTGAACATTCCACAATCGCAAACAAATGTATAAAAAAGTCATCGGTCGAGAAAAAAACATTACGTACCTGTCTTCATACGTATCCCAATTTCCGAATCTACTATGTATAAACGATGCTCTATCGTTTACCTTATGGGGGTCGAAATCCATCATAGCTGAAAGAGCACATCATAAAAAATTATCAAGAAAAATGTGAAAGATTCGTCAGCCAGTAGACAAAAAGACGATTGTTTTTGTTTTAGCTTTGCTTGTGCTCCTTTTTTCGTGGCTTTTGATTATAGTCATAATTGCTTTATTTTTCCGAAACACTGAAAAGTGTTCTGCCTCCTATGCTAAAAAAAAAATCTCTCTATCAAGTCGTGGGAGACACTAATGAACTACCAATGACACCACACAAAATTAGTGACTGTAAGTCGAGCATTTTCTAAAAGCTATAAGTTTGGCTTAGTTACGACGAAAAAAGCAAACGCACACGCACACACTTTTGTGATACATACGTTTAATTCAGTGAAAATGGTTGTTAGAATGCATGGTGAATATTAATGATTCGACTCCAGATTCACTGAATTAGTATAGCTATTTGTTAATGTATAAAGCAACGAAAGAGCCAAGTTTGGTAAAAACCGCAAAAACCAAGCAGTGTTCGCTTTTGTGTTGGAAGATCTCAAACATTACTCACCGGAGTGTACCGTGAACCTGGCATTAGCGGACAAACAGTAACCTTCTATCACCCTCAAAATTGCTGCATCCTCTTCAAACTGCCGCTCATCTGCAAGAGTAACAAAATACGTTAATTGTACAGATTGAGATTTATTACTCAAAACAACCTTTCAATATCGAATTGCTCATGATTTATTGGGTTTTTTAAACGAAAAAAAGAAATCGCTTAAAAATAAATTGTATTATCAAAATACTAACTTCCAATTTTGGTCAATCGGCACCCGTCAGTCTCTATTTTTCCCAAAGCTTTTAGCGCGTAAATCGGTGGTGCTGGTCTGAGTGAGGCAACTCTCCAAGGTGTCTTAATCCCTTGGGGCGACGAGTGTTCTGCTCCTGCCGCCTGAAGCTTTGAGTTCTGACTGATCAACTACACGCGAATAGAAGAAATATACGTTAAAATCTCATTCTCCGAATAATGTTGATGAATCTACTTATAGCAAAGACTTTTTGCAATCATAAAAAATATAAAATCACTTCATAGGATGCTCATAAATATTGAGAGTGACTGTCCAGTGACAATTGAAACATAATAAATGTGAGAATAAACGTTCAAGTGATCGTCCCGATCATCACTTATTCAATTTCACTTACAAATTCCTATATACATTTAGGGGATAGTTTGACAATTTTTAGTTACACTAAGTTCACGCATAGTATATTTACATGAGAAATCTAACAATTTGAGTGCCATAAATAAAAAATTTGTTGTTGCTGTTTTGTAAGAAAAAACAATAGGTGTGAGCGAAAAAAACTCCCTCTAACATGCAAAAAGTAAATAATTAATAACGCAGTACTCAATTTGTTAGTTACATTTAAGTCTTTTTTTTAGATTTCGACATATTATTCGAGTCTATACAAATATAATCAATGCAAAGGATTAAATATACGTAGAGGTGCTATTAGGAAAAATCGTTGACAAAACATTCATCTTGATTCAAAAGCCTAATATTCAATAATTTCGATTGATAATTGGGACAAACACTTTGAATACAAATATATAAATATATTTAGTATAGTGCAATAATCATGCCTTTTAGTTATTAAAAATACTACGTTCAAGACCTCTATGTAGTTTTATGCGCAGAAAAATTATAATGTCAATGTAAATCAAGATAAACAATAATAATTAAATTAAAAATATAAAATCATCAGATCTGCAGCGATGATTTTCAAGCTTGCATTTATTTGCTAATTTGGAGTGTTTCTTCCGTGAATCTAATTGTTGTTCGGAAAAAATATTGAGAATTGATTTGCTTTTTTTCTCAATAAGTTAGTATAGTGTAAAACAATTTTTAAAAAACAAAGCAAAAGCATACTTCTCACAACATGGCTGGACTGAGTAAAAGTCAGGAAAAAATTTTGAGTAAGCGGCAAAAAATTTAGTTCTCGGCGGTTGTGTGATGAATTTAAATTATACGAATTAGTAGTAGTAGCCTGACAAACGAAAAAGAATTAAATGACGTACATAAATTTGTCGCACACTGTTCTTTTTATTTATGATTTTTACATTTAATTCCTGGCAAAGCAATGTTACTTTCTTAATTTTCTACTGCTTTAATGAAAAATATATCAAACTAAAGTTTCTATGAGACAATAAATTTAACGATATCATTGTATGAAAATTTATTGACGAACACCAAGATTAACAAATTAAACTTGAAGCCGCAAATCTTAATTCTTCTTCGTTCGACGCAACAAAACTCTCGAAGGTTACCGTTTCATCAAAAAAAGCAACTCATAACAGAAAGACTGGTGGTGAGTATGCGAATCGAACGAGTCACAAGTAAAAAGTAAAACAGAACGCAGCCATGCCATGGAGAAGCGCTTGCCTTGAGTATCATCATCATCATCATCATCATCATCATCATCATCATTATCATCATCATCCATAGGAATGGTTTTCTTAAGCCACCAATGTGCGTAGAGGGTAGACGTGTAAACCTTTGGCTCATCTGTTTTGTCATCCTCTGATGGAGGTTTGTAATGTCCTAAAGGCCTTCGCTTAGTTGTTTTTTTCGGCGTAAATGGCTGTGTGAGGTGCTTTTGTTGAGTCAACGTCATTTTAGCAAACCTACTCTCTTCTACATTATTGTTGCAGGTACACTTTGCCAGACTTTCAACCTCGTCCTCATCATCTCCGCCGTCATCACTGACGTCCATCGGTTGATCAATGAGACTCTTACATGATGGTGTCGAGCCAAAAGGTGACGTACAAATACACTGGCTCTCGAATTCATTCTCACTCTCGCGCATTGCGTTGTAGCACGAGCCGATTTCCGCCGAATGATATTGAAAACTATCTGCCATACCGGAATCCGAAGATCTTGGACTTCTCGTACTAGTCAACAATTTGCCCTGATTCTTGCCACTACCAAGTGATTTCCAATTTTTCGAATCTTCCGAGTCGCACAAATTCGACAGATCCTCATTGCCAGACCTCAGAACTCGATAAGGGACAGAATCGAAGTTAGGAATAATCACACAGCTACCGGTGCTGACCTTCGGTGGAAGACTCCTACTTGTAGGTTCTGGTAACGAGGTCGGTTCTTCGGTACTAAACACAGCCATTGATGTTGAGGTCGAGGCAGGCAAATGAGTTCGTTGAGCTTGCAATGGACAACAATTTCCATCGTTGGGTACATACCTAACGTCTAAATTCAATGTAGACACTTTGCGCGTGGAAGATTTTTGCGAATGATCGCGAGGGTTAAGAGTATACATGATAAAACAGTTGCGTCGCATCTTCACTGTGCTCAAGTCGGGACGAAATATATATTGAAAGTACAGCAGTCGTTTGAGCAGCTCTGGATGTAATAATTTCTTGCGTACCAGTCGTGCGAAAAAACGCGATAGACGTGTGTACGGAGGATGCTGGCAACAACTCACGTGTGATATGCTTGTCGTTGGCGAACGCGTTGCTAATGATGCACCTCGGGATGTCACTTCATCTTGACTCAATAACTCGATCCAGTGCTGACGTTCCTCCCGGCTTGGACACAGTACTGTTATACTCTCGATCATGGGACCTATTTCGCATTTAAATATTTAAATTAGTTACAAAAGTACTTATAATGTAAAAACTACAAAAAGCTAAATCACAATAAATCTCATTTTGCTTTGTGAAAACATTTCTTAAGCTATGAGATCACAGATGAAAATAATAATAATAACTTTTAGCAAAAATTATTCGTGTACACCCCACGAACTTTTCATTGTTAAGCTAATTTATAAAATTCAATAAAAAAAAAATTTAAAGCGCAGTTATATTGAAACGAGCTAGCGAGTGTTCTAAAGTACTAGTATGGAAAACTTTACTAACTGATCGAATTTCTTGGTTTTCCCGCGACTCAGCACAATTTAAGCTATTTTTAGATTTATCCCTGATGCCTCTTAGAGGACTGAATAAGCAAAAGTATTCGTTTCGACATTAAAGTTTGTATAACTAGTTATGAATCGTAAAGTTCTATACTTGTCTATTTCCAAAAAAATTGAAATATTTGACCTTATTTCTTGAATCATTCAACTAAGATAAATATAAGCTTACCCGATATCTCGAAGGCATTTTTTATATCATCCGATGGTTCAACTGCAACTATGTTAATTCCAGTCAAAGGAAGTTTTCCCTGTAATAAAACAAGTAGTTAAAGTTAAAAGAAATTCCTGAAATGTAAAATCTAATCTTTACCTCATACACGAACGAGCTCATTCTAGGACTAGTACTAAGAACAAGTAAAGTTGCAGGAAATAATACAAAATATCTATCTCTTCTATCAACCCCAGAGACAAGTATAACAGCGCCAACATGAATAATATCTCCAAGAACACTCAATTCCTCGCCTTCCCATCCTTTAATTCCACACGTTAAAATTTGTAATGCAAGCTCTCGTTGCTTTCTTATAGCGGCACATCGGTCCTAAAAAATTAACGCAAACAATCATTGAACAAATGAAATATTCACTTTCTGATAATTGATATAATAACTGAAATTCACCGCTATTTCTCTGTACACACTAACACTACGTTGAGTATCTCCTCTATCAGAGTGATTCTTTTCTGTATGCCGCTCTAACTCTTGCAGCATTGCAGAATACTTATCCAGTCTTCTAAAAGGTTTACTGAGACCTGTAGTTAATACTAAAATTCCAGGCGTTATAGCACCACTTCGTTCCATAAATTCATTTAATTCATCGCTACAAGGGAATGTCACACTCAGCAATGTATTTATTATGAATAAAATTCTAAAATATATTTTGCATTTGAATGATTACCGGTATCGATCCAATATACAAACTGCTTGTGGATGGCAATTGCAGTAAGATGTATGGATACTTTTAAGTTTTGGAGCTGACGTAAGAAAAATATTTCCCACTCTAGCTTCTGGTCCTTGAGGTAATACACTGTCTAAATTGACTAAAAGGCGCTGATGAGCTTCTAATACTTCATGGATATTTCCAATTAATTGTTTGTACTCTTCTTTCTTAAGTCTAAACATTAGAAAATAGTTTTATAAATAAGTCAAATTATTATTAATGTTTTTGATAATTTGGAATGACTTACATATTGGCTGTTTCCAATGGTTGAAGAAAATTGTTAACTAATCCTTGTAGTTCCGCAACGTTCGCACGCTCAGAATCTACGATATTTTTTAAAACTATATCACGATTCATGGTTTGATGAATTGGAGAATCTGGTGAACTTTTCTCTGGTGATAATTTGGCAGATATCGTGGAAGCAGAGTCTACAAGAATGAATTAATTAATGCTAATGATTGTTATCAAAATCAATGCATGATGTTAATATACACCAGAAAGCAAAGCTTTTCAGTTTATAAAATAGATGAGATGATAAGTTAATGCCATGAGTTTTAAATACCAAATACGATTAAAGGAAATTTGGTTAATTCTTAGAAGCACAGATAGTACCAAATAGCAGTGGGATACAGTATTTTATAGAAGTATTTACAAATAAAGCACAATTGAATATATTCTAAGCATATAAATAATATGCTGATTAATAAAAACGAATATTGATGAAAATTTTTTGACAATAGGAAATTCTCACAACATTGATTACAGCATCCTTATTAGTAATGTTATGGGAATGAATACCTGATTCACTTAAGCTGAATCTTAATGGTGTACCTGGAGCTTTCAACTCCTTGACATAATTAGATGGAAACCAGCCAGTTTTCTCATTGAGCGTTCCTTCCCACCAGCCACCATCATCCAACTGTGTTATTGTTATGATATCACCTTTCTTAAAACACAGCTAAAAGACAAAATAAAAATATAAGTTTATAACTTAGTAGCAAATCTTAAAATAAAAATATTGCATTTATGATAGAAATGATAAAGCTATTCTAGAAGATAATTACTAGGTCAGTATAAGTTATAGTTTAAGATATACATTTAGTAAAGTAGAGCTCCTATAATTAAATTTCCTAGATGAATAGCTTATATTAAGATAACAATTTCTAATTTTGTTTGCACTTCCATATATGACATGCTTTAACTACTTTATTTTGAGAATTGTGTAAGTTGGCTGAGCATTCATCAGTTTATTTAATAATTAGTAAAACAAAAATAGATCTCAATATTGATTTTTAGATATTAAACAGAAACAGGTACGGCTAAAATATCTCTTGTTGGAGGAAGTGCAGTAGTCAATTATCAGTTTTAATGCAATATTGACTATATTGACATTGCAAGTGCTTTCATAACTAGGACTATAATAAAGATCTCATAAAAAGCTACTGCAATGTGATCAAATAGTAAAATTTACGTATATATGTAATAATAGAACTGGAATGCAGTGGAGTACAAAGTAATGTGTACGAAATGAGGAAAATGGAGTAGAGACAATTAAAATGTGTGCCAAGTGCAGAGTCAAGAAACATCGCCAGTTGTTAGTGTGTGAATGAGTGAGTCGCATAGCGATCTATCTACCTCATCATTGTTCTTTCCTTTGAAAGAAAATAGGGCCGTGACGACTTTCGGTCCATCCGACTTGGACATCTTCGGGGATGATTATCTACAAGAACAAAGTATTTCCATATGTACACAGACAAATTCCCAAAGAAATGAAACTAAATAGAACTTTATGACCGGAAATAAAGGGACGGTAAAGTAAGTACTCACACGTAAAGTACTATGTGCTGGAAACTGATGAAAACTTTGTCGGAGAGATTGAGAAACAGAAGAGAGGGACAGAGGAAGAGAGGGAAAGAGAGAGAGAAAGAGAGAGAGAGAGAGAAAGAGAGAGAGAGAGAGAAAGAGAGAGAGAGAACGAGATTCAAGTTGCTGAATCAAGGCATTTGTGCAGCTTAGAAAGTTGTTGCAACTACGATGCAGCCGATTTCGCAAACACGTGACGACTGCGCTCTCGTTCTTTTACTCACTGGCTAATAATACAGAATATTATAATGTGTGACGTTTTGGCAGAAGTGTAGACTATAAATAAATAGTCTTCGTCGTCGCGTACCCCACACACTCGCGAACGAACATCCGCGAACTATAAGCAGCAGCCAGCAGCTAGCAGCCGCAGGCAGACTTTTGCTTAAAGTTTTGTGCGCAATGCAGCGATAACTTAAGTTAGACTGCGTTTACAAGTAGCAAATTGATTGGTGAGTGTTGTGGCGCGAATGAAGCTTAGGTTTGAATGGTTTTATTCTTAAAAGAATGTTTATTTTCGTAACGACAAAAATTGTCGTAAAAATATAAATTTACATTAAAATGATCAACATTATAAAATCTAAAAATATACGAAACCTCTTTAAAAAAAGAAAAAAGACAAACATGTGTAGATTTACATTTTTATCTCAGTCTCCTGGTGTTCATATAAGTAACCCTTATTATCGTATCCCGCAATATGTTTTCGCTGTTTCTGCTTGAGTGAATCTGCAGCACTACCGCTCGACATGGACTTTTCTCTCTGTTGCGATCTACTCGCACGGATCGTCCGCTCAATTTTGCGCGACATGTCAGCAATATTTTTCGTTTCTCCAACTGGAATCATGAGGAAACCCGTACAATTACTGACAAAGTCGGAGATAGAGGGAAATGCGTACTCACCATTGTGTAAAGTTTCTTTGATCGACGTGCTGAACGGTCGAGCATAAGTTTGACGTCGCTCGTTGTCGGCGTGCAGGAAATGCACAGTACGTCGTTTCCTCGGCGGGACTTTGTTACTCGAACCGGCAGGCCTGGCGTCGCTGTTGAGTTTCCTTTCGAAGATTTTTCGGATTTTCAACGCCTGCCGCTCGTGTATCGCCTCCTCCGAAAGATCGGCGGCCTGAAAACCAACACCCCTCGTCGATAGATCGTTCGGTTTTTTAATTGACGATGTCAACGGCGCTACCTTGTTCCAGCAGTCGCAACTCAACCTAACTTTGGCCATGATGTGAGAGAAAGTTTCGAAGCGATGGAGCAGCATCGCTATGAATTGCACGGCTAAAATACTGACGAACAACAGAATGAACATGAATCCAATGGGTTCCAGATGCAAATGCTCTTCAACGACGTGAACCTGCAAGTAATCCCACCTCGTGCGTTCTGAAAACTTGTCATAATGTTCGTTTCACGCTTACCTCCAGGTCATGGTAAGTAATGTTATACTTGACTCCGAGTGGCCATTCCAAGTACAGCACGTCTTTGTTCAATTGTAATAAAAACACGCTCAGAACGAACAGCGAGTTGATCATGAAGAATTTAAAAATATACTGATCCCTCAGTTCCGTGATTCGCCGATTTATATCTGCCTATCGAACAATCGCATCTGTTCATGCGAACAAATTCATTAGAAAATCCAAGATCAATACCTCTCGTTTCTCGTCCTTATCAATAGGATCCAAATAAGTCTCGATGAACTTCTTCCAAAAAATTTCCTCTTCCGACGACAAAAATTCCACCTCGCCTTTTCCCAAACCCTTGCTTCTCAGCCAATTCGGCGAGACGAGGAAATTATCGTTCTCGCGAGCGGATTGTTCATCGTCACTGCTCGCTACCTCGTCGTCGTCATCGGTATCCGAATTCGCGTTGCTGTCGTCATCGATCGTCTCCTCGAGCTTCTCGGCGAAATTCACCGAATGGGTTGTGCGACCGGCAGCTGGATTTGACGCCTCGTCGCGACTCAAATCTCGCGCCGATCGCAGTCCACTACTCGAACTGTTGATGTTTCTATAGATCAGCGTGTCGTTCATTGCTCGCTCGTCAGACTCGCTGTCAAAATAATGTACCTCTCCATGTCGTTCAGTCGCGCGTCGATTCTCGACAGTGCCGACGCGATTTCCTTGAGTTCCTTGTCGTTCTCTCGAGGAATGTCCTGAGCGCACAAGATGCACTTGAACAAGCCAGCGACGGAAAACTCGATTGGCCCTTTCTCGTTCTTTGCGTCCTTGGAGAGCAAACTTTTCGAAGCGCTCGTAGCCGTCGCGGCTTGCTGCTCCTCCTGCGAGATAGGAGAGCATTCAGGTTCGGTCCAGTTAACAATGAAAGCTCATCTACTGGCTCACCGTAATAACTTCGACTTTCGGGACTTCTCTCGTTCCCCAGCTGATGTTATTCATGTTGAAAAGCGAGAATATCACAAGCAACACGTACATCGACGGCACGGTAACGTAGTAAACGAAGCCGTATAACAGGCAACTCCACTCGAGCGGATGTAATAGGCCAGTGATAAGAAGTTCGCCGGCGACAAGAAAGAAGAATAGAGTGGACGGTGCAAGCCAACCGTCCTCCGTTATTTGTAGCATTATACCCACGAGTACGACTATCATCACTAGTCCATAGATCGCCGTGATTATTCCTGCCACTACTAGCTGTAATTTTTGCTTTATTCGATTCAATTCATAGACAAGTTATCGTTCACTTTGTAATAAAATAAATAAATAATAAAACAATAAAACTTAATAAAAAAGTTGACTGCTTGAACAATTTAAAAGATCTGAAGATCCAATACGTAATTTATGGGGTTATACGGTGCAAAATAGATCCGAAGCTCGGAAGCTCAAGTCCGGGTCGAACTTTAGCGTGAACCTGAAAATTTCACCTGCGTTTGTTCCTTGGTAAAGTAGCAGACAGAGCAGAATATCAAAATCGGTACGATATTGTACACAAAACTCGTGTAGTTGTCAATTCCAAACGCAGCAACGAACGCACCGACGAGCATGAGGAATATCGTGCCCGGTCCTAAAATTGTACTACCTACGAATGAAGAATTTAATCGAACGTCGATTGACTCGCTAAAGCAAAAGAAACTGGGATTTATGATTGAATAATTGCAAACCCATCAAGACCCATTGGTAGAGGATGTAAAGCCAGGAGATGTCGCGATTGTTCTTTTTGGTGTCCGCGGCAGTTTCGAGCAGGTCGAATATATTGGCAACTGTAGATGGTATCCATCGTCGTCTCTGAATGAAGAACTCGTTGAATTTCTCCGGGGCGTGAGTGAAGGCGTCGCTTGCCGCCGAGTACTCCACCTTAACGATCGAAAGTGAGAGATGAATCGGTCGACAAGCGCCGGTGGATGCGCAGTATCGCGCAGTATCGGCACTCGGGGGGTCGCGAATAAGGGCAGAGAGCTTCGCCGAGCAAATACCTTGTAGCCGCACTGCAGAATGAGAGTGCAGAGCCAGCGGTCCTCGCCTTGGTCGTACTGAATGAAGTGCCGTGCCTCCTCGGCCACGGTGGCGTACTTCCTCATGACGTTGTTCTCCATGAGCGCCTTGGCGCGAAACAAGGCGAAGCAACCGGGACTGCAGAGCACGCAGCCGATCGTGTGCTCCGTCGACTTTTGCAGCCAGTGGCCGATCGCGTACTCGAACTTTTGGAACCAAACCAGCGGACCTGTGTTGGGCAGGGGGGCGCGCGTCAGTGTTCGGCCGCCCCCGGGCAACGGGGAAGCGGACCGTCGTTACCTTTGCCCAACGGATGAATCCTGCCGCAGGCCGATCCCACGTCTCTGTTGACCTTCATCCTGTCGACGAGCGTCCTCACCGCGCTCGGCCGGAAATCAATGTCGCCGTCGAGCGTCAGCAGGTAGGTGTTCTCGGCGATCACCTCCTTTCGCGACACGCTGATGTCTTCCGCCATCAGTCGGTAGCCGAGCAAGTAGTACATGTACATGACCTGCGCAGAGGACCGACGAGGAGTTACGACGCGAGCGCGTCCAATCGCCTTCGTCGCGACGCGATCACCTGACTCCACCGTTTCCTCGCGCGAATCCTGTTCTTGTCCTTCAGATGCACGTACATTTTCGTCTGCTCGGGCAAGGTCCACACAAGTCTGCCGCCGTACGGGGTCGGATACTTCACCGGCGGCGAAGCCTTGAAGTTGCGCGCTCGCACGCACTTCTCGACGCACCTCACGAAATCTCCCACGTAGTCGTTCACCAGAGTCATGCTCTCGTCGTGGGTGCAACGTCGGCTGCAGCCGTGCACGCACCGGAACGCATCGTCGAAGAATACGTGGACTGCGACGAGTCAGTTTCTCTCTATCAATCAATGCTCTTCCGATCGCGGACATTTTTTATTTACCTTCGAGCTCGTAATAATCGGGTAGATTGGCTTTGGGATCGTAGCTTTTCATCGTACGCATTATGCATTGATCCTTGTCCAATCGTAGAATGCTATTGAGAAAATCGGTCATTTCCTCGGTCGTTTCGTGCCACATTGTCGCACACGCGTAAATTCGCGTCGTTTGATCCTCCTTCAGTATGTCCTCTTTGCCACGATACGCGTCGTCGTTTCTTTCTATGTCGTCTTCCTGGGAAAAGAACACTGCTGATAATTTGTCTATCTCTTTATATTTTTCGATATTTGGAAAGTTATAAATAGCGTTCAAAAGTTATCGAAAAGAAAACGAACATTCTTTAGAAAATAACGACGATTAGATCGCAATCAAAAATATGTCTGATCGACTAGCTATTTCATTAAACGACGACAACGAAGGAATACTTTCAAAATTATTTAAATTATTCGTAGTGAATTAGCCAAAAATGACAAAATTAGAAAAAAAATATATATAACCTTTCGTTCGACGTAATCATCGTCGTCGGCTTCCTCTCTCCACCTACTAAGCGCCAGCGATTGATCGATCATGAGCGCGTCGTAAGAAAACACGACAAAGATCTTGCTGGTAGTAGCGAGTCTTTCGTTCCTTGTATACCAGACGTGCATAGTAATCCAAGCTTGCGATAAAGTCCAAATCAACCAAATCCAGGCGTACCAATGAGCTTCGTAATTCTTGATAGTAGGTGCATAAAAGAATAAGTAGTCGAGTGCCTGTGCTTCCGCGTTGTCCTTGTGAAAATAGCACTCGTCCCAAGCGCGCAGGTAAGATACAACCCAGAGGCTAATTACCGTGCCGGCAACTGCTACGTTCAAGGGCAGCGCGAACCCGATGCCTTGCATTAACGTTTTGCAAGCAAATTTGCCTGTGAGAGTGTTGAGTGGTTAACGACGTTCTTTCTCTTTTTTTTCTATGTGGGGCTAAAATTGTTAATTGCCATGGAGTTCAATGCACTAGGCGGTTACAATTTTGAAATTTAGCTCTATTTAATAGCTTTTATATTTTTTTTTGTGATGTTTCTAATGGTTTGCTGTTTAGCTTACGATGCTGAACATTTTCTTTTGGTACTTATACTGAATTTAAATTTGTTTTAAAAAGAAAGGGATAATACGGGGTTTAACGCTTTGTCATCCAAAGTTTCCTTAATTGCTGTTTAAAAATCATCCTAATACAGATATCAATGTAAAATATCTCTTATCTTGAAATATTTCGTAGAGGCTTGAATTGTTTTATTATGCATACCAAAATCTTCATTCTACGCTCCACAAATGCAATGAGTGGAGCCATTTTTCGAAAATATTATATTTTTCACTTTTTCAAAAGCAGTTATTCGACTTTTATAAATAAAAAACAAACGACACTTTTGAAAAGGTGTTTTGTTTTGTTGATAAATGGTAAATTTTCAGTGTTGGGCCCCGTAAACAATATCGTTAAAAGTATTAATCGACGACAAAGTGCAAAGAAGGAACCTAGGAAAATGTTTCAATGAAAAGCTCACTGCAGCTGTAGACGAAGAATCCGGCACCAGCGTGTATCAGAGCGACGTTAAGTGGGACCCATCGATTACCGACGATCGACAGAATTAGGTTTGCCGGCTGAATCACGCCCGAGCCCTCTTCCATCCCATCTTTCACCAAAGTCAATGTGAAATTGTAGCTGTCCATCCAAAATCCATGAAAGAAGTCGGCAGGTCGCATTCCCTGAACCGAATTAATCAAAAGTGCTCCGAATATAAATGCGAATACTCGTATCACTGACGTGTAGCCGATCAAAACTGCTCTGTACGCCTGCAAGTTTCTCCGTACGGTTGCGAGCGCGACGACGAAACCTGCGACAAATGAAACTCGTGAAAACGCCCGGCATTGTTTGCCGACAGTGAAGTCGTCGATTATTTCTACAGCACAGCTAGGCGCTTGTTCGCGAGTATCGACAGCTTCCGCGACAATAAAATTGTGGTATGAAATGATTGCCGGATCTCCTTAGCTCCCAACTAAAAGCCCCCAACGCCCCCATGTTCTTCTCTCGGTGTCCGTCGATGCCCTGCGAATTGACGATCATCGTAGCTCTCTCTCAGTCTCGCTTTTTGCGACGGTGCATCCGACCAGCGTGCTCGCTGTAACTCCTCGTCAAAGTCATCCGTTCGCTTCTGCAGGCACGTAGCTTCGTGTTTTTAAAATAACGAACGTCGCACTCGGTCATTCCGAAACCAAGTTCGGATTCTTCCATTCTCGCTCCGCATATAGACGCATCAACGAAAAATGAGGACTACTTACCGAACTGACTTTCCTTCGATACGTAATTTCCCCACCATCGTAGCGACGACAATATCAAAGCTATCGGGGTCAGCCAGGCCGCGTACGCGTTGTTTGGCGGCTCGGCGATCAAAGTGAAGGACGCGATGCCGCCGATTTGAGCGAGCATAGCTAAAATGTCGCCGTACGCCAGGCCGCCAGGACGACGGACGTTGACCGTTACCTTACTCGTGGCAACGCCGTTTTGTTGCGACGTAGCGTCGACGAATCGTTCGGAATAGTCCGCTCTCTTGTTTGACAAAATTCCTGTGCCAACGATAGAACATAGTGCTCGACGCCGTCGCGGTCAATGACGAACGCGTGGCGCGCCAAGTTTACCGGCCAGTGGCACTCACCTAAAATCGAAGGGACGAGGCAGGCGCAGCTGAACGTGACGGCGCCTTGAACCGCGTCCAAGTTTGGCAAAACTACGAAAAACAGCAGCAGCACTCCCGTCACGTGCAAAGCCTCCAAGCACGTTAGTATGAAGATATTACGGGGTCTCGGCAAAGACCACTGCTCGCCCTCGTTATCTGAATAATGAAAAGAGCTCGCTGCAACCGACCGGATAGAACTTGCAAAAGATGCACGCACCCGATGGCGGCAGCAGGAACTGGACGTTGATGAAGAAACAATTCCAAAGGAAGCGCATGAAGTTCATCAGCTCCGGTATCGAGAACGCTATGATTATGCACCAAACCCAGGACGACCGAGCCTCGTCCGACGTCTGTGCCTCGTATCTGTTCTGCTCGCGAAACGTTCGACCTGCACACGTTTATTGCCCATTCATCGCCGGTGTCCCTTTCGTGTGAGCACTCGTGGGTGGACGTTCCGCTTACCGGGATAATACTCGCAGAACGGCACAGTCCTCTTCCGCAGCTGCGAAGTGGCGAAGAGTGCAGCGCCCTTCGTGATAATGCAGCCGGCGAGGATCGCAAGGCATAGGAAACCATAGAGGAACGCTTTTATGATACGTAGCATAATCTCGTACCATCGCTTCTCCGCCATCGAGCCGGTGTTCGGCTCCGGGTCGACACACTTGAAGGAATCCCATAGCAGAATCTCATCGATCGATCTGCAAAATATCATTCGACTTGCTGACTAATTGCAATGTTGCGTTCTAATACATTTTACGATCGAAAAAACAGATCGTTAATCCTCGCGCGATTTAGAAAAGTTTCTCACAATTCCAAGATAAGACTGAAAGTCAAAAGCATTCAGTCTCCTTTGGCTTTATTACGCGAGAAGGATTACGACTTTGTAGTTTAGATTTTTTTCTAAAATACTATTCGCGCAATTTTTAATACATCAGAAAGTTACGATAGTATTATTATTTATCACATTCGACTATCATAATTTGCATTGTGCGAAGCCTTTTTTCACAGAAACATTTTAAATTCCTAAAAGTTAAATACCGAGTAACTAAAGCTTATCGTCTTTAGAGGCATTCTTTTTTATCTTAATATCCAATACGAGTCCGAATTTCACAAAAAAGATAAGTTCAAAACTATCTATCGTCCGTTCTCCAAAACTCCTTTGAAAAATTATTTTCTTGCACGTTTATGCACTGCCTCGAGCAATGAACTTCACACTTGAACAGGCTGGCAAACAAGTAACACATAAATGAAAATTGCTATATAAACTAAATACTATTGTGTTCACTTTATCACCCGTGAATCTTATCTGACAACCGCACTGTTTTCTGCCGCGTGGATTATTACAACAGTCTCACCCTGTGTTTTTCTCATCTATTTCGTCCGTGTTGATACCATCCCCGTAGCCGCGATCTTGTTCAACCGGGTAGAAACTGTACCTACGATCCATCGCTACTTCCGATCGTCTTTGCTCGATATGACACGTCGATCGCGGTCTTGGTCATTGTAATCTTATCATTTTTGAACGGCACATCGATAAGCCAACGTGAAAGAGAATTGTTCGTTGTTATTACGCATGTATTTACGCGATGGTCAGTGGACTTTTGATTAGGAAGGTCTCATCATTATTTGCGTGAGATGAATTAGTGATTATATACGATTGCGTTCTAGACTTTTGTTTCTCACTGGAAGCGTTTATTGAATAATCGATGAAATGACTGCAATGTGTGTGGATCAAGGATTTACGATTTAAATTCTACATGAAATAGAATTTCTGTCTTTTATAATTCGATAGTTTTTTATAATTATAATTTGAACATTTTTGTCGATAATACAGTATTTTTAAACTTTATATATGTAGGTAAAAGTGGCTAAAGTATTCAATTAGATTGTTTGAATACAAAATCTGTTCACAGAGATCAAAAGGTTATTCATTTGGATTAAACTTATAGAAAACAAAATTTTCTGCGTAAACCTTTTCAGAGCTATAAAGAAATATTACAAATAAAAAATTCATAGTTTGAATAATTCTATTGTTAAAACGGTTAGTGACTTTTAAAAAGTAATCTTTGATACATCATTTGTAATTTCACCATTGATTGAAGTAAAATTCCCATAGAAGTAAAGGTATACATATGTGTGTTATTTGAATACAACAACAAATAAAAAAAATTATATTTTCCATCAAGTGAGTTGACATAAATAAGTAAAACAATTCTTGACGATGATTTTAATTACTAAAAATTTTTCTATACAATATATTATATACACTTTATATAAGACACATTAATTATATTTGTAAGCTTCATGAACATGTACAATAACTCGTTTACAAAATTTGCTTGCAGTCTTTCTTTACAAAAAATAGTACATTAAATAGCATAATATTAACAAAGATCTTCATTGCTAATATTATTGTATATTCTATATAATACAGTATGACAGATTTCTTGTTCACACATATAAAAATACGTAAAGAAGATATAGCTTTAAGGTACATATAAAACATTTCGTACATAATTTATTTTAGAAGATTATTCGACGTCAAACAATAAGGTTTCCCATTTTTGTGAGAGTTTCTGCATCGATGACACCAAGTGCGCATAAACCGACCAAAGCAGCACCTTGTTCTGCCCATTTTTTATTTTTCTCCCTGAATTGCAAGAAAATTAATATTGTTATTCTAAATCTTATAAAATACTAAGAGTTGTTTTAATATGTTTTAGATTGGAAGTGATTGGCGAATTTGTAAACTTTACAGGCTGATCATATCTCATCTGTATAGATGTAAGAAATGAAAGTAAATGTGGAGCTATTAAAATAAATGGATACAGTTGTAAGATATAAATCTCACCAAAATGAAGATCCGTATTTTCTCCCGTCAATGACGACGACAGCTCGGAAAAGTTTATCTTCATTGACAGTGTAATAAGCAGGTAATTTCTTATGATGATCTCTCGTCCATTTGGCAAGCTGAGATTTGGGTAAACTCTTATCATTGGGGAAATTGTTTCGGAGAAAGGCACATTTCATTAGCAGCACGTCTTCCTCTTCATCCTCAAGTTTTCGCTTACCAGCTGTACCAATTAGCCCTAAGCGCTCAGGCACCACCTCGAAACGACCCTCGAAACCTTTGCTACGAAATTCCTTCGCTTTCGCACGACAATAATTGTCCATATTCCATACTTCGCTGAAAAATTAAAATACATAGTTGAATTATGAAATCATGACTTGTGCATAGAATTTACTGGAAAAAAACTGACCATATTTGCTCAAGAGTTTGTGCATTGAGAAACTGCTTTCCAAGTGGTGTCTCTTGCAAATCTCTGAGTATATTTTGTACGCAATATTTTGTATTACTCGGTGAATTGTCGTAGTCGACAGCCAATTTTAAATAACTTCTTACTACATCGTCCATGGGTAGCAAGCCTTCTTTTCGAAAAATTGAGCAATTCCATTCAGCCGCTCTCGCCAGCATTACACTACTGCAGCCTGTTTCTTTTTTAAATTTAAATATGTCCTCCCTTTTCTCCACTTCCTGAAATTACCGTTGTTTGTTGTAAACCATAAATTTGCGAGTAGAGAATATTGAAATGAGAATTGTTAATGTCTTTCGAATCGAAAGTAATTATTAAAAAAAATATAATTATCGACTTTTCGAAAAGTAATTTTATTCACAGTATCTGAAAATTGTAAAAATAAAAACTAGTTTAAAAAAAGTGGAAATGTAAGGTAAAATAAGTATTAACCTTGGAACCACCATTAGCAATAACTGGAATGCTCAAATGCTCGGAAATTATCTTAAGCACCTCATTTCTATTGGGATGCTGCGGTCTTTCGTCCACCGTCCTTCCGTGTACGGTAATTGCAGAAATACCCGTAGCAGCCAATGTATCACACAATTTCAACGTATCTCTCACACTTTTCAATACTCTAATCTTACACGTTACAGGAATCGTCAATCCATCAACAAGTGTTTTTAAAATTTCGCTGGCTTTGTCGGGTTGTTTGAGTAATGCTGCACCCATGCCACCGAGGATTGAAAATCGTTTTGGACATCCCATGTTTACGTCGATACCCGCGACGTCATTTTCTACAATTTGTGCCACTTTGAATGCACGCGTTGGATCGCAAGTTCCCAACTGAAGAACCACGTGCTCGCGCTCACGAGCACATGTACGGAAGACTATCGTACCGTCAGTTCGGTCAATGAAATCTACTGTGCCGAGTACGTCTGAAAGAATTATGTTTTTTTATACGGCTTGAATGAGATTAGCGCTGATAATTTAATCTGATCATATTTGCGATGTATTTTATTTAACTTTTTTTGGCTTCGTAAGAAAATAAAAACAATGTCCATATAAATCAATTAAAAAATTGGTTTGATAGACAACGTAAAATAATGTAAATAATTACTTCACAGTGGCAACACTTTTCAATTGGGAGAAACCTTATACTAGCTAGTTATTGTACAGATACTTCTAAAACTTATAAATTAGCAAAAAGACATTAAAAATATTAAAGAAACTTGACAAATGATTAGTCTGATAAATGAAGTAAAAGTTAAATAACATATAATTGAAATCAAGGTGGTCATAGCTCTGACAATGTCAGATATTTAGCTATAAATAAATAATTAAATGAACTATCTTAAAACTGTACATGAAAGAATAATATTTAAATTCAAACATAAAAAATTTTGGATTTAAATTATTTAAGAAAAATCGACACCATTTTTACGACGAACAGATCTCAACAATTTCCAGTCAATCAATTCCTCCGTGTACACAATGTCCGCACCATATTCCAGTGCAAGTAACCTCATTGGCAACGTGCCGATTCTCACCATCGGCGCCAATATCACTTTATCCGCGTATGTTAGTCGCGGATGCGATGACTCGCCCGTCATTATGTCACTTCTACTTAAAATAAAAAAATACTAAGTAAAATATTGGAAGGCGATATAATACACGCCGTGTTCGTGAACCCCGCGACTCTGACTGCAACTTCTCGCAGCAGTAGATAACGAGACTAGAACAGCTGATTGACGCGCGCATGCGTAGTGTTGCTGACGGATGGGTACTGGATAGCAGCTGGTACTGAATTGGTTTATCATCGAGACGACCCTGTCAGAAAAATGATTAATTTAAAAAAAAATATATACCATTAGCTTCGTCTTAATTTGTACCACCCGAAAATTGCTTTTTTGGAATTTGTACCCCCCCCCCCAAATTTTGAAAAAAAGCGAATAAAACGATATTTCGGAAAACTCATACTCCTGGTAGAAAAATGATTGATATCTTAAAAGAAAAAAATACCACTAGTTTCATTTTAATTTGTATCATCCGAAAAATGCTTTTTTGGAATTTGTACCCTCTCTAAAAATAGAGAAAAAAAAGATTTTCGTAGGGTAGATTAGTAATTCAAATTAACGTACTTTACTTTACTAGATGGCGGTGGGTCTCTGACTGAGACGCCAATAAGCAAAGTCAAATTAACGTATTACTGCGCATGCGCGGCGGCAAATCTATCTTCCTGTAGAAAAATATGCGATTTAAAAAAAAATGAATGCCTTCTTAATTTGTACCATCTAAAAAATACATAAAACTAATTCTGTTCTCGGCGGAAAAATCGTGAAATTTTAATGTAAAAGATTATAAATGTCTTCTTCTTAATTTGTACCATCTACGAAATCCATAAATATAATTTATACCCCTGTAGAATTTGAATTATACAGCGTTTTTCATAGAAACACAGTAAAATGCAAAAAATTAATAAAATTTATGATCCTGGCAGAAAAATGGTGAATTTTCTTAAAAAATTTTAAGTAAATAGCTTTATGTCTATTTATACTATTCAAAATTATCTAAATTTTCTTTTTGTACCCCTCCAAATTCCAAATCCAAAATTATATTGAAATTATAAGAGCTGCATTAATAGGAATTGATTATTTTCTAAATAACCCATTCCTATTAATAAATGAAATTGCGCGGAGTTATAAATAACTTTTGCTATCTTTGTTAACCTCGCGCAGTTTTTCTATAATTTTTTTATTATAGCTGTATTAATTAATAGGAATTTTACTTAGAACTTTTATGAGCGAATCAAAAAAAAATCAAATATTAAATGGCGTTTTTGTTTTTATTATTATTCCAGCAAAGTATTTTTATTCTTTAAATATTCGATTTTAAAAATATTTTTTTATTAATAGCTCAATTAGTCCAATCAATTACTTACGTTCTTACGTATAATGAATTTTTGTTTTCGATTGCCCTGAATTTTAAATTGATGTGATATCAACAAGTGAAACGTGGAACGAAACCGAATCATTTAGCCGATGGATTGAAAACATACTTAGAAACGGTACGACTATAGAAAAAGAACTTTTTGATTGAATGGTCGGATTCTCAGCACTGGTGTCCGGTAGCGCGTGTTCGATTTATTTATTAAAATTTGTCGTGCAGGTCTCGCGTGTTTGATAATTCGATAAGTGGCATATAAGTCATGATTTCAACTGATTTAAAATAGGCCAAGACAGCGTAGAAGTTTCTAGCTTTATGTTTCAACGTTTTAAATTTATTTGTTAATTTTTTATTAGAATTTTTATCACATTATGTAAATATTTGAATCGACCAGTCAAACGTATAAAATGCATCCTTCGAAAATTGGCTATTATTTTATTAATACCATTGACCAAACCGGTCATGTTAATAAAGTTTAGCCTTGAGTATTTTTACACTCCTGAAATTTCATAATTAACTTCTTATTCCATCATCCGATACAATGAATGTACGTCATTGATTTTACCCTTTACACATTCTTTCGTCGTTCATATTTTTATTACATTACTAAAGCGCTTACACTTTTGACGCATACATTCTCGTGCCGTTGCTCCACTTTTCCACACACAAAGAATGAAGGTTATGTGCATATGTGGTGCATGCGCGTGAGTGGCGTGATGCCGTCGTGGAGGCTTGAGCACAGCTGTTTTACCGTCCCCGCCGTTTTATATCTCGTGCAACGGCGAGTAAAGTGGGAGGAGGAGGTGGAGTAATTTAGATATCTTGAGTCGCGATCGTGCGTGAAATAATTTTGGCGATGAGACAGAGGCAGCTATTTGGTGACGCGCGCAATACACCCGTAAGTCTATAAATACAACATCTCGAGAGGCTCACGTTTTGATAACGATTATTTATGATAGTTAAATTTGTTGAATTTTAAGCGCCTATCTCTTTGTGGGCTTGTTTTGATAGGATTCGGTTTATTTGAGATACACACACACATTCTCGTTGCGAGTACACTTACTTGAAAGCTGATTATGTAATTGTTTATTTGAGTACAACGAGCGTGGGAGTTGATGATGAGGTGATTTTTGTTCGTTGACCTTTGGCTTAATGAGCGCGATTATCTGTGTGGGTGGATTATTAGTGTAAAGACACTGGCGCTTGGTTTATATATCAAAGATAGCCTGTAATTTGTGATCATTAGGTAAAACTACGTCTATTAAGCTTTCAAGTTAGAAAATAGTGACTACTACAAAAACTATGTTTCTTGCCAACTTGCATTTGAAATAATATTAACATAATTGTTTTTGACCTAAATCTTGTGTTTTACACGAATCAAGAGTAATCTATATAAAAACAATTATTTGCAATAAATATGTTTTTAAATATATTCAAGCAGAATAAAAAACATTTTAATTTATTCTACACTTTTATAGTACTATCAGTTTCCTTATCTGATTAAGTTCAGTTAAGATAAGAATTAAATCCACTTCCTCGTATTATTTCTAATTCTATATTTACACATATTTTACTGAAAATAAATGTACCAATTGAATTTTAAATCAAATTTATATTTTCAGGTTCACGAGCCACCTACAAATTCAAATTTTTATACTTAAAAGTTGTGATAAATGACCTACAGGTTTACTCTAACGTAGATGTTATATCATACATCTAGCAACAAACCCCATAAAGTAGTAGACAATTCTCAACTGAAAAGATACAAATAAAAATTTAAACTTTTCAAAAGAATTTTTGAAAGATTAATACAATGGCCAATCCAGGCACTGTCATAGCACATTTAGCTAAATTGATTGTCACAATTGTTTGCATGAAATTCTTCAAGGATGCTTTTTCATTGCGTGTAATTGAATATGCTTGGGCTGTACGAGCTTTTCAAATGTTGTTTGTACATTCTATCCTAGGAATTCTCAGATATGGTGAGTTGTTTTTATAAAAATTCAAAATAAAATAGAATCCTAAGTATTAATAATAAACTTGTTTTCTAAACTACACTTAAGTAACTCAGCCACTCAAAAACAAAATATCAGAACTTTTTATACAAATTAGAAAAGTAACGTTCAAAACATAATTTGATTCATTACTTTATTTGTTTATAACATTTTATAATCTTAGCATGGAAATATTTCAGGTGGATCATCAACAACAAAGCGCTTCAGAAACTTTTACGAAAGTTTCTCGAGTGTAGTCGAGGTAGTACCATTCGCCTTGTTCACCACTGAGGTTTTGTTAAAGTACAATTTCCGTGAAGAGTTGCGGTTCCTTTTGCTAGCCCTTGGAATGTCACCGACAGTCATAGAGTTGAGCTCATCTCGTATTAAAGATCGCTCGAAGTTACAAAATTTCACCAACATTATCTTCGCTCTACAATCGTTGGCATTGGGTTTAGTATGCATCTGGTACGACAATTATGGAGGTATCAGTCTTGCAGTATCGTTCGCTCTCGCAAGGTACGTCTCTGAGGACTTTTGCGATCACTACGACGTGCCTTACGTCGATTTGTCGCAGTACAGTCTTGGTTTTGTTGGAGTATTCGCACTGGTGACACTCAAAGAGATGTAAAGGTATATTATGGTCGCCTTTAAAAAACAACCTTAAAAATAAGCAGGGATTTCAAATTTTGGAAAAAAGTTACTGTGGGTTTCTCGATTCACTCAAGTTTCGATAATATATCGGAAGGATGAAACATTTGAGCAATTTATTCTCACTAAATTTACGATACTATCAAAGATTAGATAATAATCAAAGCAATCTCTCAAGTGTTTCACTATTTCGTGAATAAGCTTCAAAAAATCTACAGTACGTTTCAAAAACACTGCATTCCAAACAAAAAAAACACGCTCGATGTACCAATAAACGTATTCTAAATTTTTCATAATATCAACAAAAAAAAAAAATAAAGCGTCGTTTGCTATGGTCGTTATTAAGAATATTTAAATATATCGCTGTTGATGTGCGTTTGATGTGAAGTGGGGTTTGTCGAAGAACTTATCAAAGACCAAAGATACTTATGAGTAAAAGCAAAAAATATACAAAAACAAGAAAATCGACAAATGAAGGTTACTTAAACGATATACGTGAATAATAACTCTTAGCAAACAAATTTTTAGCTTTAGATACGATTGCAGACCTAACGAAGTTCGATAATCTTCCATTTGTATATCTCAATTTTTCTCTGTATTGCCATAGGACCTACATAGATGAGTACGAGAAAAGTTCAAAGAAAAGCCAAGTTCTAACTTCCTAAAGTCAATTTCACTCATGTTAAATCATTGAGCGATATTCCAACAAAACATCAGATAAAACGAGTACTAGACAACTAGCCCGTTGAATTAGAATTACACCTTGTAAGTCTTACGAGAACCAAAGTCCGATAATACAAGCAGGCAGATGTAGATGTTTTTTACGCGGTGATTTTTCAATCGGTGAAGCTAAACGTTTGGTTTCCAAACAAGTTACATATATACTTTCAAGACAGACCGGTGGAGAAAACAATTTATATACAGCTTAGGCTATTTCAGAAAACCGCATTTCCGTACCTTCAAATGAGTACATTAACTAATACTCTTTTTTAGCTAAGGCTTAACATAGTAAATGATAGATTTAGAAAATTTCAGTAAAAGCGACGATCGATATACAAACTTGCCAACAATTTTTTAACAATGTTACAATAGCCCTCTAGTTTTACAAAGTCATAATATTTGTATAGTTTGAATCAGGTTTGTACAGTGCGTTAACTGAAATATTAAAAATCGCTTTTAATGAAATCTTCGACAAGAAAAAGAAAAATCTAATTCTGAGTCTAATGAATGACTAACTTAGAGAAATAATAACAATGTTGCTATAATTGCAGATATATTTATTATATTCATACTTTTGTATTTTGCAAAAAAAAAAGAATTTAGACTACATTCATGTAGATATTTTCTCATTATATATTACATTCGATATTAGAGTCCAGCTTAGTAGATTTTACATGGTTTTTCTGCTGTTCGATTGAAAGTACTCTACATAGTTAATAGTGTAAAAGACGTATAATTTTGGCGAAAAGCATCACGAGAAATCAATGATTTCATAATGGCCGACAAATACGTATAACTGTGATACTAATCTCGATAATATACCTGACTCAATCTATTTCCACTGTCTTAGCTTTTTACTCAAATTATCTTTTATCTTCGTTGATAAAAAATACAAGATCAGAAATGAATTTAATTAAAGTGCAACGACGATAAAACTAGGCGCATATAAATTTAATTCGGTGGATTGTTCTTATAAATAGAACTGCAGATTCAAGGTAAAATTTTCATAACATATACTGCACCAAAAAATTAGTTCACGATCGATCCATTTCATTGGAGAACGCGTAAAATTGGTATAAAAAGTCAACGCCAAGCTAAGCCATTACCCTAACGATCGAAAAGAGCGCCGAAGACACGTTGAAGATAGTCTGTCTTTGTTGCACTGACTTGGAACAATCAGAAAAATGTCAATAGTCCATCTCTATTCTCCCACCCTTCTTGTGCCGGAAATATTTACAAATTGATCGGTCGAAATAGTCACAGACGATAACCGACCGCCCGACCGGTTTGATCTCTCTCTTGACGACCAGTTCGCAAGTCGGTTCATTTAATCTGTGCGAAAAAATGTCAGACTTGAAACACGATGACAGCAACAACGTAGACCATAAAAGCAACGACAGCAAGGACGACAACATCTTGCTACACCTCGCTGTGATGGAGGAAAACTACGACGTGGTCAAGTTTCTATTGAAGCATAATGTTCCGGTGAACGGTCGCGCGGTCAACAGGGAATTGGGACTGGAATTTCTGACCGACAACGAGCATCAGCGACACATAGAAGCGACCCTCATTGGTGTGACAGGCCAACAGCATGACAACAAGGGTAAAGAAAACGTGAAGCCTTGCCTCCAGAAGTCTGCCACTGCGCTTCACTTGGCTGCCCGCTGTCGAAGTAAGGAAATAGCCGAATGTCTGCTGCTACACGGCGCCGATGTGAACGCCGAGATGGAAGGTGGCGAGACGCCGCTGATGATCGCCGTGTTTTCTAATTGTTCGAGCGTCGTCGAACTGCTGATCGAGTCAGGTGCCAATGTGAACGCGCGCACAGCTTGGGGCAAGGCAGCGTTGCATTACGCTGCTCAAGGGGGCAACAAGCAAATTACCGAGATGCTCGTGTTGACCGGCGCCCAGGTCAATGCCGCCAATCTGCAGGGCATCACGCCTTTGCACATCGCCGCTGAATCCGCTCACGAGGACGTGCTGAGCTTGTTACTAAAGAGCGGTGCCGACACCAGCATCAGAACTCAGGATGGCGCTACAGCTTTGCATTATGCTGCGGTGATGGGTCACAAAAAGGTCGTCGAGATACTTCTCAGTTACGGCGCTGACATGAATGTTTTGTTGAAACAAGGTACGCTTGATTTGACACCTTTCAAGTGGGTTACTCCTGCTGAGGAGAAAAAGGTTTGGGATTTGATCTCCAATTACACCAACAAGTTGAGCATTCGCAATATCTTCCAATCCTGGATATTTAGAAAGTCTAATCGGAGTTTTTCTAACAACACTGAACGTTGATTTTTGAATGTACAACAATCAGCGTTCCTTTTACTAGACTATGATGCGCCTTATTCCTGTTTTAATACGTTGAATCCTTGAGTAAATGTAGCTGACAAATGCAAGGCCTATTCATTTTTTTTATTACGCGTATTTTGACTGAATTTCCACAACAATTTTTAAGTCAAATGATCATCTATTTTGATGAAAAATTTTATATGTATTTGTGTAAACTACGTCAATCAATTGTGTTCGATATTACTTTTTTGTACTTACAAGCGTGATACGTCACCTTTATACGATTAATTTGTAACCTTGATGTTTGTACTTTGTAATAATAATGATTCATAGTTGGTAACACAAAATAATGAATTACCATGTAATCCATCATAGTTTTTTTCTCGTTGTGTAAGCCTGCTGTACGTACTATTATTGCAATGTATTTGCAGGTAAAAAAATTAGATAAAAAATTAAAGGTATTTCACGAAAAAAAATTACAAGTCAAAATAATACGTCTTTTATAAGCATTAGACTTTGCTACTTAAAATTATATAGAAACTAAAAATTATTTACTTTGAATGCCAATAGGCGATAGAATATAAAGTATTATTTTATTTATAAAGGTCTAAGTAGTTACAAACGCATACTAGAAAATTTTATAGAAAAAGAAATATTAATAAAATGAATATAAATATAACGTAAAATGAATTTGTTTGTATACAAATAATCTAGTAATGACTTAAACTGCTGTTGATCTATTAGAATATCAATCAGCTTACAACTTCGTACTGAGCTATTCTTTGAAGAAAATTGAATTTATAATTAATCAGGGTAAGATTTGAAACATAACGCAACGAAAATAAATGCAGGTTAAATATTTCGTACATTCGATTAGTGAAATTCAGAGATGCAATTATGTGAATGTGAAATAAAAGTCAATCGGAAAGTTTACGCGACTTGCAGAATTTAAAAATTACATTCTGATTGTATGTATATAATAAAATACCAAATATTAAATTATTAATACTGACAAGAAAGTTTACAAATTTTGCAACGTTATTTTGTTCAATTCTGTAATTTTTCATTTACTTTAAATATGTTGAGATTAATTGTTTTCGTTTGCAATTTCCAATATTCATCATTTGGATAGTCTTGTAAAATAATGAATGTAGGTTGTTTTATTGTCTCGCGTTAAAATGAAAAAAATACTCAAATACAACAGATTGATTTTCGTTACTTACACTAGGTAGCCACGCAAGTCTACATAGATTTTATAAACTTTTAACAAATACTTGCATATTGAAGCATTATATATATTTTAATGAATTTCTTGAACAAAGTTTAGCACACTGAACTCCTAGTTCGTTTTACCAGTTTGCAATTTTTTTCGTTGTGAAATTATCGCTTCTTATAATACTTGTTATTTATTGATTTTTTTAGAGATTCGTAACTTAATTAAACAAAACGTATGTGTAAATCAATAAGCAGGGCAACGTTATCATAATCAAAATATCCTAGATACATTAAAAGATGTGTGGCAATTATATAATCATGTTATTATAACTGTTATGTCATATCCTATCTTTTGTAATAACATTTAACTTGTATTAATTTTCATTCTGTGCGAATTATTGGATAATAGGTGATAATTTGTTGGCCTAACTGTACATGAATGGAACATTAATGTGCATAATATACTACGCATAATGTAATCTTAATACCTATCATAGTTCTTTATCATTTCAGCTTTATATTTAATTTGATTGTGACTAATAAATTTTTTAATTTTATTTACACCGTGTTCTTTATTTTTATACAAACCCGAATCCTAATAATTAATTGTATTTTCTCTTTCACCGCCGCACGCGTACGTGTCTCTCCATCCTTCTGGGACTGAAATTTTACGTACATGGTTCGACGCTTGGCTATTACGAGGCGCTCTAACCAACGAAGACTCTCTGGGTCATCGACTTTGGTTGGGTCGGGTGTGAAATTTCGCGACATGTCAAGTTGTTCGAGATGCGATCGTTGCCTACGATCCATTTCTGATTAACGAGCGATTCGCCGCAACTAGCGTGACCAGAATAGAGCTCGCGGATATTTGAAGAGAGGATGATTACACCGCCGTACACATGCCACTGATACCTCGAACAAAGAGTGAATTTTACGATTTACCTCACGGGTACGGGATTTCTTAGAAAGCTTGGCACACTGAGTCAATTAATCAGATTACCAACGCTTTTATTATTTGACAAACTATGCGCATATCACCACTGCCAAATTTCATTTGTCATTTCGATTACGACTACCGTCAATTACTATTTTCCTTCAGACATTATCAACGCAGAAACGTTGGGCAAATGCAAGAAAGGTGTTCACATCATCAATGTGGCTCGCAGAGTTATTGTGGACAAAACTGCTTGATTAAACTCAATCAAGAGTGGACAATACGGCGGTGCTGTAATTGATGTGTTCCTCAAAGATCTTCCGAAAAAATCGGTCACACTCGACTTAATCAAACATCTCAAAGTTGTCGCTATGCCTCTTCTCGGTAAATAAGTTTTGACAAACTACCGATAGCTTTTTCTTGTCATCGGGAATAAAAATAATTGTGCAACTCATTTGCATGATAAGGATTCTTTAAACATAAATTTCAATTCTACTTACATTTTAGAACAGAATTCTCTTTTAAATCACCGTTTTAATCATTATCCGCGTCGCAGTCAATCCATCTTTCAGATAAATATTTTCATTATCTACTGCAGCCGCTTTCATAAGAGTAAATTCAATATTGAAGTCATCTATAGATGCAGAGTATAATAATTATGTTTATGAAATAAAAAAATAATTCAAGAATCTACCATTGATTTGTTTTTGAGAATTCTAAACCTGTTTATCAGAAGAAAATGTAGAAATACTTTTCTCATACGTTTATATCAAGTATCGGTTGGCACGACCAAAAATATGAGTTTATTTTCATTAATATAAATTAAAAAATCTCAGTCATAAGCTCCAAGAAATTATTAATTAGGTTTTCATAATTTTCATTAATCTTCTCTTTTGAAAAGTAGAATTTCTAATTTCATTAATAAAAAACTTGTAAGAAAAATAAAGTTTAAAAAATATATAGAATATAAAAATATATTTTATAATGAAATAAAATAATATAACATAGATACTTCTTCGTTGATTACAAATGATAATCAATTGAATTACTTCATCAAATGCATAACTTACCATTTTAAACAATTACTTTATTGTTATTAGCTTTTAAGTGGGCTAGGTATTCTAAATTTTATATTGAAAAGGTAATATATTGTTTGTTATTATTTTTACTAATATATCTACTAAAATATATTAGCAATTGGAATAATTATAATTATCGCCATTTGATGTTATTCAATAATATCTGAGACAGCTCTTTCAATTCCAAGCTTATGTAGCTTATTAGCTGAGTATTCAAAAAGATTCGAATGAATTCCCTTTGAACGACTTGGTCTGTTAACGAATTTTTTCGCTTTAAAAATAAACGAACTTTTGTTACTCTCTTATTTAATATCATCTTCCAACGAATCATCATTTTTTAGTTGATTAATTTGTTCTAATATGTTATTTTTTTATGAAACTTAAACTTACAACACTGAATAAAGTTGCTGCAAAGTATCTATCATTGAAAAATTGTGAGCTGCGGCCGTCCGTCGTGTCAGCTTTTTTTGGACTGACCGTTTTGCACTTAAAAAACAGTACGCCCTTCGAGACTCGATCAGTGGACGAGGAAAGCAGTGAAAATTCGAGCAGAATTCCTCGCAAATGGAAATGCCTACTAGTAGTGTGATTGTTGTTACAGAACTTCAATTGTTTTCAAAATATTCCGTTGTAAATGTTAGATGCAGTGATAAAATCGAGAAGTAAAAATCAATTGGTTACTTGTTTTGTATACATACAATATAAAAGAATACTTGCTTCTTAGAAGAAAATATAATGTCGAATATTTATTGGAAACGTCTTCATTCAAACAGTGTTTGCTTCGTATTTTCCTTCAGAGAAATGCCGTTTTCTAGCGTAAAGCACGATGCCACTGTGACTCTGCATTATTGATATTTGTTTAGTTAAGCATTCCTTTATAAACATAAATTAGAATTTTGCGGTTGATGAACCACCGAGTTGCGTTACGAAATTGGGACGTCCCGCGTTGCCGCGAGGAGTATAACAGGATAACCCTTCCTAAGACCTTATTTTGCACAATCCCACAACCAAAAGGATCGTAAACCCAAGATTATAAATCTACTAAGCGCTGTTTTCGCACAACATAAGTTTATTGTAATTCCCGAGAAACGCATAATGCTCCGTCGCGATGAAAACAGACGTATCCGCTGAGTGATTTTTCTCTTATTTATCGCGAAGACAACAAACGTATCTTCGTTGGTATATGTTGGTGGAGAACAGCAAAAGCGAAACGGTCCAGAGGTACTAGTTTCATTTAAATCCTCATCGCCCCCCCACTTCGACCCCCTCTCCTCAAAGGCCCATCGTTAGCCTGTTAAACCGACGGTAGGATGTCACATGAACGTAGTCCGTTGTTGATACTACGCAGCTCAGCGATACACAGTTAGCACACGTTTTCGTCCTGCTTTTACGTAACACCTGCCGCGATTTTGATTGAAGCTCATCGGAAAGGTAAGTCTTCAATTTAATTTATTTGTTCTTTATTGTGATCGTCAATTAGCGTTCGTCGAATTTTACTAAATTATGCGTTGGTAAAGTTCTTAGCGAAGAATAAAAAAAAGAAGCAGAAGAAAAAGAAAGAAAATTCAGATCGAACGCGGTATCTGCTCTTTGAAGTGTCGACGAAAGAATAAAGAGCGAGAGAGATGGAGACAAGCGCGTCGATGCTTTTGCACGCGGCAGTGCTGGAGAACAACGAAAAGGCGGTGCGTTTTCTGCTGAAACACGGAGCTCGGGCGAACGCGCCTTGCCGGCACGGCGTCAAATACTTGCGGCAGAATTTCTCCGACCATCGGACGGAGATAAGCGAAATATCCTCGAGGTATCGCAGCTTGTCGTTGAGCTCCGGCTGCATCATCACGCCGAATCCCGTGGTGTGGGCGCCAGGTTCCGCGTACACGTTTTCCGGGCGCGGTCGCAGCCACTCGGTCGACGAGCACCGACCGAAGTCGCTCACGCCGATGCACGTCGCCGCGGCGAACGGCCACCCTGGCATCACGAAGATGCTCATCGGACACGGCGGCGATGCGAACGCTCGGATGGAAGGTGATTATACCCCGCTAGTTATAGCGCTTTTGTACAAACACCACGAGGTCGTAGAAATGTTGACTAATGTCGGTGCAAATTTGAACAGACGAATGCGCAACGGCAAGACGCCGATGTATTTCGCCGTGAAAAGCAAACGGCCGTCTCTAGTAGCGCTGCTGCTCAAGAAGGGCGCCGATCCGAACGCCGCCACCGACCACGGCGTCACTCCGCTGCACATCGCCGTCGAAAGAAAGCTCGCCGAAGTCGCGGAGCTGCTGCTGGCGTGCGGGGCGCACGCGAACGCTCGGACCAAGACCGGCGTGACGCCCCTTCATTGCGCCGCGGCCACGGGCCAGACCAACATTGTCGAACTGATATTACGCCACGGCGGCGACGTTAGCGCGATACTGAAGAGAGGCGAGATCGACGTTGCGCCGCTGCTCTGGGTCACCGAGTCCGAGAGAAGAAAGATCGCCGAGCTCGTGCGCAATTACGCGCCGGCGAGCAAGGCCGCGAGCCCTTACGGCACCCTCGTCAAAAGGCTTTGGAAGCAACTCGCGCTCAAGAAGTATTGAGGGAGTGCGCGCGCTCGACTGTGTGCCATTCGCGCGGCACTGCGCCGTTATTACATGCGTGCGACGGCTGTCATTTCGTCTACTCTTTAATTGATTGCTGTCAAGTTTCAATTGTGACTGCCGTGTCGTTCATGCGTACGTTAACAACCGATGTCCGCAAGAGTTGTCGTGCACGCGTCAAATTATTGTCAAATTTTTTACGTGCCAGCCGATTTCGTTAATTAACATTGCAAACTTAAAAAATCTTGCGTTAGGCAATGAAAGAAGCGCTTTCACTGCTTTAGCCTTTTTTTATGTATCGATTTATGTAATTTACATGTAATAATGTCATATGCCAATACAATATGCGGAATTCGATACGTTTTCACTCTTTTACTTGTAAGATTGTAGGAATATACATTCACAAATGGAGTAAAGTTTAAGAGTTTTTCATTAAAATCTGTTGTATTTACGAATATCATATCGCTGTACTCTATAATGACTCCCTATTAACGTTCTATTTATTCATTTTCTTGTGAGAATATGTTCTTTTTTTATATATCATAATAAATACCTCCGGATAAAATTCAAGTTTGTTTCTCAAATTAACGATTAGAATAAGGTTAAGTTTTCAACTTCTCAATAACTATTTTACAAAGTCACTTTAAGTTTGAATATCAGTGAAATTACAATTGTTTTGTCAAAAATTTTGCGTGTTTATAGTACATTAATGATAGCGGCTTCAATCGGTATGACCGACGAGAGTCCGACTCATGCTATTAGATTCACTATTATCGTCTTGTTTATTACTCTTGGCATCGGGCTCGTGCGCGTACGTGACAGGAAAGTGGGCAGCCAACAATGTCATCAAACACGAGCCGCAAACTATATCTGCGTGTATTGGAGTTGCGGCAATCAATTTAAGATCGCTGCTAAATCTATTTTCTCCGTTTATATTTCACGCCTCTTACTGTGAGTACCAACTTAACCTTTCGCTGTTTGTAAACATCCAAAAATATCTTGACCGTCTATTATTCGTTGTTAGCTGCTGATCCTATTGAGATACTCAATGAAGAGAAACATACGGCAGAGCTGAGAATCGGTCCGCTTCATGAAAAAATATGTCGAGTTTTCGGTATGGCCGGATTAATTTTTGCCGTGTGCGATGCTCATGGAAATCGCCAAACTGGTATCTTCATAATTAGCACGCTTACTTTGATCGAGTTTCATCACGCTTTGTACGAAAGTTATCCCGGCAAACAAAGAAACAAATTATTCCACTTCATGTGGATGCTAGCCGCTGGATTTTACGGGTATCCGGCAATTTGTTTTTTTTTAATAGTACTTTGAAAAAAAAAACCATTCCGTTTAACGTGCTCGTATTCGATAATAGGTGGATAAAAAATAATAAATTATGCTTCTGGGCTCATCTACCCTATGGCATGTCATTTTTGTTACTCACACCAGAAAAACATTATGCGTGGTCTGTCAACAGAACCGTTAATAATTACATGATGATGGTCCACGTATTTTTAATGTTAGAAGCCATACGGGATGCTCAAAGCAACACTTTGAAGTAAACGTGTCGTCCCGTTATTGTTATTACGGATAATTGAATGAATAAAACTCCATTGAGATGCACATTGATGATTAAATTTCAAATTCTTATACGTTCTTAATTACAAACAATCGTACATTAAATCATTCTATTAAACGACTAATAATCTCAAATATGTCATGTGTATAATTGTGGCAGCAGAAAAACAATGCCCTAAGGCATTCTGAATCGGAGACACTCGCAATAATAAAATCATCAACTTAAATAGGTACATCTTTCGTATCGTACGCGAAACATCAATAAGGTAAGATATAAGGGCATACTGTAAAAACTTAATGCGCTAAAATGTCACTCAATCAGCTGCTCGTGAAGACGATCGTGTCTTGCACTTTTCACGTTTTTTCTTATTACAGATATGGTTCGATTCTGAGAATTATGAATTGTTGTTTAACATTAGCGATTAAGTGTCAGCCACCAAACACACTCCGTGTGAACTAATGATTGTTTACAATGTTCTTTTCCCTTATAAATTATTGCTAAGTAATCTCGTCTTTAATCTCATATCAGTGAGTACAACATTCAAAATGCAACAATCACGATTTCGAAATCAATTCGCCGTAAATTTTCAATAATTAAATTACCTACATTTTACGCTCTTGCAAAATGCCTATATATATATATTCGTTTTACAAACAAACTTATTTACAGAGACATCTATCTTCTTCGTATTTTTTTTTCACGATTTTCAGATATTTCTTGTAAAAAGTTTTAAAACAATAATTTCCTAAACATAAGAAAAATGGTGAGCAACAGAGGAAGCTCGTTGTCACTCCGAAGCTTGCAACAGTCACATTCAGACAAAATTGATTTTTTCTGCACAGAAAATAAAAAAATTACAAACAAACAAATACACACCCACCTAAATAGTTTAAAATGTTTTATCTTTCACTTCACAACATTCAAAGATTGGAGTTGACGTCACCGATGTTCCAACCGACCGGCCGCATTCTCAAGCTATTACCGGGCGTCTCGTCAGCTTCGTAAGCAGCATTCGCGTGTGCTCCGTGATTTTCAAATACGTCTTTAATCGAGATCTGACTGCTGCGAGTTGGTCTTGGTTGAATGCCTAATGGATTACCCGGTGCCCCGTAAATATTGTTTGCACCGAGAGTCTGCATTTGGGATTTGCGACGCTGCGCTGCCATAATGCTGTTGCGACGACCCTCAAAAGCTTTGAAAGCTTTTGTCGAGCGTCGCGTTGACATGTTGCGTGGGAGACCTAATAACAATTCGATAGCATTGCTCCAATTTGCCTGAAATCCCATTGTATCGCATTGATGAGCGAATTTAGTTACCTAATCCTTGGCCTTCAGCCATATTGAAGAAACGTTGACGGAAAGCTACGTCAAGAGTATTGATAGCTTGAGTTTTCTTGCGGCTTTTCTCCAGATTCCTAATTGTTTTGCGACGACCAGGACCACTTCCACTACCTTCGTCGTAATCACCTTCGATTCCGTCTAACCTTTGTAGATCCCTAACTATATCTACCGCATGTTTTGATAACAATGCATCCTCCGACAAGTTTTCACTTGGCTGAAAAATTAATCGACATGCATATCAATTGTACCAGCAATAAAACTAATTATCTCGAGTGCCTTACCTTTTTACAACAGAACCAGTTGATTGTTGTGCTTGCCAAGATGTGGGCTAATGTTCCAAAACGATGGAACAACATGGCGGTGAATTGAATAACGAGGATCAAAGCGAAGAAGAATACGAACACGAGACCAATAGGTTCCAGCTGTAAATATTCTTTCGAAACGTGTACCTGGAATTGGGATAAAAGTAATCGTGAGAATTTGCTGTTTGGTAGGTACTTGTGATTATGACTATAGATATCTCCGGAATCCAATCTTTTCTTTGATTTATCCTTCTTTTTGATTAAACAAAGTTATTAAGATAATAAAAAATGAATTATTTGATATTTCGAAATTCCGATTGGATTTCGCACGGTTATGTTAATTATTTTTAAGAAATTCTTGTCGTTGTCATTCATTCGACTAGAATATTGTGTCAGGACATAATTGAATGATCAGTTAAAACTCGTAAGTTAAAGAAAAGAATAAAAAAATAAAGAAAGTGTAAAAAAATGAACAACAAGAAATTCCTAAGTATCTAGTGCTGTGTTAAAACACCTGTTGATATTATGTACATTTGGAGTTACCTAAAGCCCACCACTGTGGTGTCAGTAATATAAACAAATATTATCATTTATTACTATTAATATTATTATTGGTATTTAGAGGTTCATTGTCTTCGCATAAAAGTAGACATAAAAGTACACCATTCACGAGTACAAAGTCCAATTAAAGTTAGACACAAACACAGGAATAAGGGTCATCCAGCTGCGAAAAGGATATCCCATTAGTATAGTTTTATTTTGTCGGTGCCACTGTATAAAAAAAATTCTTTCGTTTTCTATTTTAATGAATGAATAACGTTGATGGTGAAATGGTAATTGATGTGAATGCTCAAGAATCGAATCAGCAATTTAAATGAAAAATTTTTATAATGCAATGAAATAGTTGCTGATTTTATTCTGAATGAGAAAGAAATGTGAATAGACGAACTGAAATGGGATGAAATGAAAAAATTTTGATATAATACAAAAATAGTAAGTCACATGACAATATGCATAATCTTCAAACACCCACGATCACGCATAAATAACTATGTATATACTCTGCTATAAGTCAATAATTTTAGTTGAAACCTCAATGTTTAGTGAGATAAAAACACCTTGTGTACTAGAAGAGTGAGTGCAGTTCTAACGAAGTGTCTCGTAAAATGGAAAAAAAAATGAATAAATAAAATGGATTTTTTGAAAACATTATTGAGTTTGAGAAGATCGAGAAAAAGAAATGTAAGAAGAGGATTGAACAAGACACTCCTAGTCACTATGTTAGTCACTCTCTAAGAACACCCTATTATGTAAAAATGAATATCTTTGTGTTGTTTATTGAATTGTTCTTTTGCGTGTGTGTGATCCTTCGGCTACCTCCTCGGTCTCGGCGATGTAGGTGATGTTGGTCTTGACGCCAAGCGGCCAGATGACGTGCAACTGGTCTTTGTTCAGCTGCAGTAAGAATACGATCAGTACGAACAATGCATTGGACATTAAAAAGGCGAACACGCTTTTGTTCCTCAGCTCGATCAGGTCCGCTGCGATCCTTGCCTGCCGTTCGTTTTTTGCGTCGTAAAAAAAGACACGAGAGAAATCATTAGTTTTGCTTGTTCGTGAGCCCCGCAAGCGCGACACTGTTCTCTGCTTCTACGTTACCTTTCTCTTCGCGACATTATTGCAGTTTTTCTTTCTAGAGACCTTTCAAGGGCTTCTTTCTGCTCACTCGATGTATTCTGATGTGGTTGTTAATGTTAATTACCTGAACCCTTTATTATCCCCAATCATAATACATCGAATTTATATATGAAAATAGAAATATCAGTGCCCACTTGAATGAGTCGAAAAGTTAAAAAAAAGTTTCGGAACGAGAAAGGTACGATGTAAGGTGAGATCAAGTCACGAAGCGGAGCAATAATTTACCTCATTGCCATTTAAGCCCAATGTGATATTTTCCTTGACACCGAAGGGCCATTTCACGTGCAATAGGTCTTTGTTAAGTTGGAGGAGAAAGACGATCAGGACGAAGAGGGCGTTGCACATAATGAACGCATAGACACTCCGGTCGCGCAGCTCCTTCAAATCTTTGGCGATTCGCGCCTGCGAGGGGCGATGGCCGCACAAATTTGGGTTATTGGGTCAGGTTTGTACTAAATTATTTATTTTTTTTATTGCGATTTTTTTTTTAAGTTCGAAACACGGTCTCAGTCAATAGAGTTTTGAAAATGCAATGCTTTTGTAATTTGCTATACTTTTAAATTTGAAAATTTCATAAATTTCAATGCATTAATATTTACTCAGTCTTTCTTTTGTGAAAAAAAGTGAAGTAACTGTTGTTAAAAACAATAAATGGACTTTAAAAAGGGGCGGTGCGGAGGGACCGTTTGGGGCAAGCTGTGACGATTCGATTGTAAAATTTTAATGTATCTTACTGCATAATATTAGAAAAACCATAAATGTCAAAATTGTTTCATAATAATTAGAAAAAAAAATAAAACAAAATAAATGTTACACCAAAATTATAAGATAATCAAGAACAAGTATTAACATGAATATTTACAAAAGAAAAAACAAAATCGAATCGCACAGGGGCCGCGTAGTGTCCAACAAGCCTAGACCCTTTATAAATACCTTCTCAGCCTTGTCTTCGTCAATAGGATACAGATACTTCTCGAGCAAATCCTTCCAGAACAATTCTTCTTGCATCGACAAAGCTTCAACTTCTCCTTTCTTCAAGATATCGTCATCGAGCCAGTAAGGTCTCGATGGAAAAGCAGAATCACGATTATTCTCAGCAGTGTGTTGACTTGCGGTAGTTTCGGTATCGCTGTCATTCCCATCTTCCTCGGCTGGATCTTCGCCAATAGCAACCAAGTGGTCGGCTGATCGCGAACCGACTGACGAAGCACGACGGCGATGGCCATGTGGATCCACGGTTCTGCAATACAATCAAAGTATTAGTCGAAGTGAACTATGCTTACTTGCCGAGAATTATACTTTTCAATGTGCTCCAATCTCTTGCCAAGCTGCTCCAGTGACTCGGCAATGGCAACGAGTTGCTGCTTTTCGTCCGAGGGTTTTCCATGCGTGCACCACAAACACTTGAACAGTCCGGCGAATGAAATCTCAATCGAGCCCTGGTCATCTTCATTGTAACCTGCGCCATTTTGCAAGAAGCCAAGTAACGACTTTTGCTTTGCTCTGCGTTTTGCTTCTTCAGCTTCTTTCTTCTCTTGTTCCAATTCCTATAAAGAAAACCATTATTGTTTTAATCTGCTCCATTACGTAGACACTTTAAATGCTAAAATTCAATGTGTTGAATTCGACTTGCTTCTCGACAATTTACGACATTAGTCAAACATCCGAACCTTTTTGGTTTTCTTGGTGACGACTTCGCGAGTACCCCAGGTGACAACGTTGAGATTGATGATGGAGTAGAGAATCAACAGCACGTACATCGATGGAATGGACAGAAGATAAATGATACCCGGTATTATACAATAAAATTCTTTTGGATGCAAACACGCTGCTATGAAAAACGACCCCGAAGATGTTATCAAGAATATTGCCGATGGTGAGCCTATACCATCCTCGCCCAATTGTAACGCCGTACCGACTATGACTGCCATCATTATCATTGCGTAACCCGTCGACAAGATTTGCGCACATAGTAGCTGAAAAATGCAAACGTTAGTGTGAATGTATTTTCTTTTTCTTACATTATAAGGGATAAATGTAAGAGATAATTGAGCTTGTACCTGTATGTTCGACTTGCAGGTGAAACATATAATCATAAATAGAATAATAGGAATAATATTATAGTAAAAACTAGTCCAGTTATCGATTTTGAAGGCGGCTACGAAAGCTCCCACCAACATAAGGAATATCGTACCCGGCCCCAATATAGTACCACCTAATAGAGAGCGTGAACAAGCACGAATTAGTTAATTGACGAACCATCTGTGTTCAACACTCACAGGAAAGTAAAACTTACCCATGAGAAGTATTTGGTAACAAATGTAAAGAAACGATATATTATCGTTGACCTTGATCGTTCGTTTGGCATCCACCAAAAGATCCATAATATTAGCAATGGTGGATGGTACCCAGCGACGACGTTGGTTATAAAACTCGTTAAAACCTTCAGGTGCATGGGTATAAGCATCGCTAGCAGCCGAGTACTCGACCTACAATCAAACGGTTAATTAATCGAAAAGCACATTCATGTTCTTCTTTCTCGTGAGCCATCGCGTACCCGATATCCTCTCTGCAGTAACAAAGTGCAAAGCCAACGATCTTCACCTTGATCGTACTGCACGTAATGTCTCGCCTCATCAGACCTAATAGTATATTTCTTCATGACGTTGTCGTCCATCAAAGCTTTACCACGGAAAAGCGAGAAGCAACCTGGACTGCAAAGTACACAACCGATCATGTGCTCGGTAGCTTTTTGCAGCCAGTGGCCAATGGCATACTCAAACATCTGATACCAGACCATTGGACCTGAACCAACCGGATGAATACGACCACAAGCTGCACCGAGATTCTTGTTCTTCTTCATCAAGTCGATTAGTAATTTTACGGCTGCTGGTTGGAAATCAATGTCACCGTCGAGAGTAAGGAGAAAAGTATTTTCTGCTATGACTTCTTTACGATCGACGCTGATTGGAAGCTCCATGAGACGATGACCAAGTAGGTAGTACATGTACATCACCTAAAATCAAATGTTACATCGTTAGCTTTTATTATTCGAAAAAAAATAAATTTGGAATTTTCGAATGAGTACCTGACTCCACCGTTTCCTATGACGGATTTTACTTTTATCCTTTAGGTGAGCGATCATTTTGGTTTTTCCTGGCAACGTCCACATGAGTCGACCACCGTACGGTGTTGGTACTTTCTTCGGAGCACGAACGTGCATGCGAGTTTGATGTACATCCGAGGCTGCTTCATCCAAGGTACCTATCAGTAGTTTCACGAATCGATTGACTTGAGACTCGTTTTCGTCATGATCGCACAACTCGAACGCGTCGTCGAAGAATATGTGTGCTGTAAGAAATGTCACCTGTCTAAGTAAATTCTCTCCTTGATAAATAAAAACAAAAAAAAAATACGATGCTAAATTGACAACTTGCTTTCAAACTCGTAATAATCAGGATCAACCACTTTGAGGTACTTCTGCGCTACGCGTCTAGCGCATTGATCTTCGTCCAATCTCAAGATACTCTTCAAGAATTCCATCATCTCTTCTTTGTTTTCGTGCCACATGGTAGCGCAAGCGTAAATGCGCGTGACGTGATCGCTGCTCTTCACGGCTGACGGCGGTGTACTTGTGCCGTCAGTTTGCTCGTAGATCGTCTCGTAGTCCCCGTCGCCTTTCTCTTTTTCGATTTCCGCCAAATCCTGTACAAGTAAGCAACTTTCTTTATCACTCGCGCTCTAATTTTTCATTCGATTTGGGTTAATGACGAGCGACAAGCGTGCTAATCAATTACAGCGGGTCAGTGCGACGAGTACGAGATAATAATAATCGAGCATCACTTGGGAATAATAAATAAACGCCTTCTACGTTGCTTTGTAATGATACGGGATAAAAAAGTTGCAAGTGTTTATTTTCCTTACCTCGACTTTGACCTCGGGTTGATCATCTCTCTTTCTGTTCAATCCCATCGACTGGTCAACCAACAGGCCATCGTACATCGGCACAACGAACAATTTCTCCGTAGCTGCCAATCTCTCGCACTTGGGTGTCCAGATGTGCAGTGTGAACCAAGTTTGCGACAATAACCAGAGTAACCAAACCCAGGCATACTGTTTGGACACGAAGTCGTTCAGGAAATACAGCGGCGGCGACTCCCAGAATAAGTAGTCCGGTATAGTGCCATGGAAGAAGCATGGATCCGTGTTGCGAAGTCCACACGCGGCAATCAGAAGGGAAATCGACACGAGGATCGTTAGGTTCACCGGGAAAGCGTAGCTGAAGCCCTGGATCATAATCTTGCAAGCGAATTTTCCTGTTCGCGCGTCCAAACGAAAAAAGAAAGAAGAGGAAATTTCTCAAGTTGAGGATCAGACGGCGATCGAAGCTCCGCACTCACCGAAAATATACATGAAGTAAGCTCCGAAAATGGCGAACAGCAATAGATGAACCGGTGTGTGAAAGTCAGCGTTGATAATCTCAGTCTCGCCGTTCGGCAGTATCTCAAACAAATCCGGCACAACTCCGCCGTCAATTGGCCTGATAGCTTGAATGATGATCTTGTGCTCGCCGAAAGCTGCGCCAAACATGCTGAACAGGTGGCCGACAGTCTGGCCCTGCACGTGAAGAACGACGCAGAGAGTGATGAAGAAAGCGACGATCTTCCACACGGATATGAACATGTAGGTGAAGTAACGCGTTTGAATCATGTCGCGCTTGACGCGGCCGAGCGTCTTGATGATGCCGATCGGACTCTGCACCGACACGTAGTTCTCCCACCATCTGCACGAGACCATTATCAGTGCGGCCGGTATGAGCCACAGCGACGGGGTCTTGCTTTCCAGCAGCGGCCACACCACGAAGCCCGTCGCTTGTGCCGCCAGCGCCGCTAGATCGACGAGCGCGACGAGGAATCGGCGCTCGTCTTTGTTCTTGTTGCGAGACAAGAGGCCTGTGGGAAAGGGAGGCGCGCTCGATCATTTGGCACCGAAGCCGAGCCCAGCCGGCTGGCGGCTTTACTTACCGAGCAAGCCAGGCACGAAGCAGACGCAGTTGGTGAGCATGGCGCCACGCACGACGTCGAGCTCCGGCAGTATGGAGAAAAACAGGAGGGCGAGGCCCACCACGTGAAAGGTTTCCATGCAGAAGACGAGCAAGAAGTGCGACGACATCGGCTTCTTCCACGACTTGAACACGCACATGCGCACGCTGCGGAAGAAGGTGCCCAATTCCGGTACCGCGAAGGCTATCACTATGCACCATATCCACGCGATGCGCTCCTCCTCTGGTAACTGAACGACGAATTGCCTGCCTCGACCTGCGGAATTGCGAAATTGCAGATCGAGAACGCGCGTGGGCGGGATGCAACAATGCGAAGACAAGTTTGCGCGGCATACATTATCGTTGTGCGCTTTCCTTCCTGCCTACTGCAATTCTTAATAAGCGCATCCGAGAGAACGGGCTAATAATAATAAAGAGGCGCCGCGCTAACGACCACCGCGACGATGGGGAGATAATAGTCGCGAGCAGCGCGCCGTCTGTCGTTAATAATCGTCTCTGTGATTACTGCCTCTTCGCGCACCTAAGCTCCATTTTATTATTGCGATCGCGAGCCTCCGCGGTGGTTAGGTCAATCGCTAATTAGATGAGCGTTCGTTATTGAAAACCGTTTTGGCCGAGAATCGTTTGAGAGCGAATGGGAAAGCGAACATGACAGATGTGGCGTTTCGCACGCGATCGTAAAGAGAAACGAGCGCGCGATCGTTTAACATTTGGACTATAAAATCAGCAAACATGATCTTCCGAGCGCCCCAAAACAACGGCAAAGAAGATCGAGCAGTGCAGGATTAACAGCAGGATACATCAATCGTTAACGATCGAGCAAGCCGATCGAGCGCGAGAGGCGCATGCAAAAGAAAGAGACAGAGAGAGAGAGAGAGAGAGAGAGAGAAGAAGCGAGAGAAGCTTACCCAATTGCCTGTTGCAATAGGCGATGTTGCGATCAGCCTTGAGTTGCGAGGTCATGAATAGGATGGTCCCTTTGGCGATGACACCGCTGGTAAGGACAATCACGAAGACTAGTAGGTAGGCCACTGCTTTGGTGATCTGTGTGGTGATCTCGAGGCAGCGCTGATCTGCCATCGAACCCGAGTCGTTTTTCGGCGGCGGATCTCGGAATACGTCCCATCCTTTCGTCTCCACCACCGTTCGTTGGCTGTAAACACACCACACGTTCACGGCGATTTATTTCAACATAGAGCTTTTTGCATCTTAAATGGTTTACAAGAATCCGACATTGAGGATTTCCTTTCGGCCTGGTGAAAATTAACGTTACTGCAGGACTAAAATGTCCATCGATACGGCTGTACACGAGCGTGTCAGACGGTGAAGCGTGCGCGAAATTCAAATTAGCGCCGAATTCAATTTGGCCAAGCCAATCGGTGCTAACGACCGCAATTAATTAAATTTCGCGCAGATGATTTCACCCATGTGACACATGCAAAATTGCAAAAGTAGCAGAGGTCATCCGAAATCGATTAGCTATAACGAAAGCAAAAGAGAAAAAAAAAAAAAGAACGCCAGCCTTGATGCGCCAGTCAAAAGAAAGATGGTCGCTGGTTACCTGCCGCCGTAATCCTGGGTGAGTGGCGTGCTATCGTCGTCGTCGGAAAAGTCGTCCGGGCCGCCGCTCCCAGGCACCGAGCCATTCTGTTGCTGTAGGTGGGCTTTCGACATCTCTGCGGACTGCAGCTGCAAAACGCGCGCACAGACATTTATTAATAACAATCGCGCGTCGCTTTCGCGAGAGCACGAAGAAAACGCGCGCGTTTCGCTATGTTCTCGCGAGTGAAAGTGTCGCGGGCACGGAGGGGAAACGCCTCGCGAGCGCGTAGCTCACCACCGGGCAAATTGTAGGAAAGCTGGGAATAACGGATGCCGACGCGCGGGGCTGTCTTACGCGAGACGCGCTGTCCTCTCTCTCTCTCACTCTCTCTCGCTTCTCCGAGCATTTGCATCGGTAATGGATACGCGCGAGCACGTTTGTGACTTTTATGGACTTGATAACTACCTGTATTTATATGTGCGTTCGTAAAATTGTTTTATATTTTACATTCGAGAGAAAATTGGTTGATTCAGTTTTTACGATAAATCAATTTGGAATTACAAGATATTGTAATGAGAACGTAGTATTCTATAATTCACTAAGTATACTGGTTATTCGCAAATATCGTAAAAAGGAAAAAAAAACAGTTATCTCACGGTGCAATGGAAACTTGGTTTCCCTGGTTTGGAAATCAACGCAAAGAAATATATTATTGATAAAGCTTGGTGATTTCGACATTTATTTAATCGCCAGACGAAGTGAAGTACGTTTCAGTTTTACAAGTGATGCAAGTCTAATTGCGTGAAAAATTAAGCGCGGATCATTAAGCAACTAACGAAAGATCGTAGGGAAACGTGCAGTTTCAATCAAGACCGCCGTATTTTCAGAGGACGTTCGATTAGCTCATATTTTCCGTAAAAAAACCTCGAGAACCCCCCTTCCCTCGCTCCTTCCAAAGAAAGGTACATCGTCCTCCTTCGCTAATTAGCGAGATGAAAGGCAAAAAGGAGAGGTTACCGCAGATATCAGCGGGCACGCGTAAGGCAAGGCGCTCCGGAGGGTGTACACGCACAACATCCTCGCGTGCGCGCACGGCGATCTACCATTCCGCGATGCACTATCCTCGTGTGCAGCAGGCTTGCGTAACGAGCCGCGCGAGTGCAACATCTCGCGTAAGCGTAAGCGCTATATGTAAATCGCCATTGGCGAAATCGGAGTCGCGATTCATGCAAGTGCCGTGCGCACCCGCCGCTTCTTCGTAAATACTTGCCTTATTTCGCTCGCGAGGCGGAGTGTCGCGTTCTATGGACGCCCCGTCGGCGGGACTCGATGCTCTCGCGCAAATGAAGATTCATCGACGACGACAAATAATGGACGTCCAACGAGCGACGGCGATTTTTTAAATATACGACGCTCGTTGCGAGCAACGTCAACGCGGATGCCACCGACGATTCAATTTTCTATGGCATATTATATACCTTGACTTGTGAATTTGAGTTCGATTATCTCTTGCCTCATGCAAAGTCATTTACCAATGCGAAGGAACGCGAAAAATGTCGACATGCACACCCTCCACCCAGTCTACACGCCCATTCCTCGCCATTGTAACGTGCAATTTTCAGCTCGTCTCCCGTCAAAACAAGACCGACTTTCCTTCGAGCAATGCTTTTCCGAGAAAAAGAAAATAAGAAAAAAAAAACAATAAACGGCCTTGCGTGGAAAATGAGCGCGCGCTTGCGAGAAAAGTTTTTTCTGCAAGCCGAAATAAATACACGTTCGACGCTATTTCGCAAAGTAGGCTATAGAGGAGAAATTGTTGCGTGAGTGACGGTAATTGCAAAGTATATACTCCCTCTCTGCGTACAGTTGGGCCTTAAACGTTTTTAGAGCGAGCAGTGTTTTAATTAATACTTGGGTAATGATACGACGCCGAGCGCCGAACAATGAAGTTCAATTGGCGCGCTTTTCGAGCTCCGTCGGCTGGAATTTTGTCCAAAGAGCAGAGTCAAATTTATTAATATAGGTATCTCTCGTTCGAGACCTTTTTTCGGAGTAATGAGATTGAAAAGGAAAAAAGAACAGGAGATTACCTATACACGCGAGAACCGATAAAACGTATTTTTTCATTAGCGTCTCTCTTTCATAATTTTGGCCCTTTATAAACTTGTTTGTTCTCGGCGATAACGCGATATATTTTTATACCGAATCGTAAACTCTTCCTTTCTGAAAGTGCAAAGCAACGAAATTCCTTCTGCGTAAATATCCTTTTCTAATTAGCCTCTCGCGCGCGTAAAGCCGTATAAACCTGAAAATTCATTAGCGCGGGATGGCGAGACTCCTTTGGTGGCGCGAAATTAGCGCTCGATCAAAATCTTAATCGCACCCTTTTACCAACGGGAACGAAAAAAAAAGGAAAGAAAACGAACGACCCGTCGGACTTGTCGTCCCTTGAACTAACGCACGTCCTTGAGGAACGACCGGCAATAAGTTTTATTAATTGTCCGGCAGTCTCGCGTTTTTCGCTCCGTGAGTATGTACACACACCGCGCGGTCAACAATCGCCGCGAGAGAAAAAGTGAAAGGAGTAGGGAGGGCGCGATGTATAGGTTGCACGAGCCGATCGCGTGCACAAAAGAAAAAGTCTTTCGCTTGTATTTTTTGATTGACATGCGTCCTCGGACCCCGGGAATTGGGAAATTTGATGTTGTTGATGAAGTTGATCGATTGGATTTTGAATAGGTGACTTTTTCTTTATTCAGCGAAGGCTTTCTCGATGATAAAATACGCGCTCTACGATTTTATCGGAGTAACGATGAAGTTTCGGTGTACATTCATACTTCGATTCCGCGTTGACAAGCTACCGACAATAAATGCACGCGTAATGAAAGATAAACAAATCTGAATCGTTCACGATGCGGTACGAATCATTGCATTTTAGTCGAATAGAGCTAAAAGGATGTAAATAAGTATTCGAGAAAGTGTCGAGGAAACGAATCGTCCGCCGCCCCATTTTTCCGCGTTCGAAACTGGGACCGCGAACGATTCGAGATGCCACAACCCAAGCCGCGACGTGACAAAAGGGAAACTGGAACGGCGAACAGCGTTTGAAGCCTTGGCGAAGGTGTCTTTTGTTCTTCGGAAAGAGAGATATCCGGACCCGGAGAGTTGAGGCCCCGCGCGCAGATGGAAAGTGAAAGGAGCGCGTGTCGCGCGCGATAACGTAGCAAGGACGTCCAGTGCCAGTCGCTGCCGCCCGCCGCCCTCGCGGACTCTTTCTCTTTTGCTACTTTTAATGCGCTCTCATTTTCTCTCTCTCTCTATCTCTCTCTCTCTCTCTCTCTCTCTCTCTCTTTCCTCGCCTATCTGTTCTCCGCGCGCGCACAGGTCGTTGCACTCGCCGCGCGATAAACTAGTCTATAATCTCTTTGCCGTGTTGCTGACGCGGGGAGGGACTTCAGTTTGAATTGTGGAATTGTGAGTCAGAAACGTGTTCGCCAAACCTCCGAGGATATACGCACTGGCTTGGCCGCGCGCGCCCACGTCACTGCCAATTTCTCGCGGCAATCTGGAAACAATGATTTCGAGCAGAGGTTTATTCTGGGACGGGATTTCGAATTTTTCGAAAGACGCCGGAGGAATGCCGATCGCGCGAACGGCATTTCAGCCACCGAACGAGCAAAACACGCACTTGGGCTGGCCGCGCGCGCGAGAGACAGACAGCAGTAAAAATCAATCTTCCGCGCGAGCGCGAATAAAGGCGGACGTAAAATTAGCTTAACGCTTCGCGCGGGGGTCGTAAAAGCGGAGCGCGGCCCGCTTCGCTCGGGGAGCCTTGCGCCTTGCTCCGTCGTTTTTCCGGCAGCACGGGCCATTAATGCTAAGTATCAAGCCGAAAGCTCGCGCCGGTGGGGAAGACTGCAGTGCTCCGGCACCTGCCGCACAGGGCGATCGTGTTTCGCGATAGGCGCGCGCCACCGCCGCTCGCTTTGAAGATCGCGCCGCGCCGTCGACTTGGTTAACGATGTAATTTGACGTGACGCGATAAATCATCGGCGACGACGACGACGACGACGACGACGACGAGGCGCGCGAGCCGTCCCGTGCGTTGCGTAACGGGCCGCGCGCTCGGTCATTGCCAGTGGGGGAACGGCGCCAAGGCTCGCTTCCAAGGCGAGGCCGCGTTCACATCCGTCGCCCGAATCGATCCTGTGCATAAAAGTTGTGAATTATCGGTGCAAAAGGCGCCTGGCCGGCTTCCTCCCATCGCTCGCTTTTCGCGGGCGCCATCCCTCCCTCGACAAGGGCTTGGCAGCAACCAGCCTCGATGTTCTCGAGGCATTCGTCGTCCTAGTCGGGCGCAGGGGTCGGAGAACACCCTCGTGGACGCGCCATTGGCGCCGAGCGCGTCGCCGTCGTCGTCTTGTCCCTTGACTCGGCGCTTGTAAAGGACGTTGTCCCGCGCAGCTTGAGGTCATCACCTGTGCAGCTGCGCCTTCGCACCGCGACTGCACGCTCTCTCACCGCTGGAATTTGCATTCGCGGTCGGGAGGAAGTTGCCGTCGATCGGCTCGTTCGGCGGGCTTTCAGCGGGAGATCGTTGCTCTCGCGTCGGCAAACTGTCGTCCAAGTTTATGCGTTTCGTTCGGTGAGCGCGGCGGGGCCAACGATATATGCCTTTCGCCAAGTGCAAATTTAAGGAGTACAAGGCAGCCTATGCCGAAGAAGAAATCACTCCGCTGTGTATAGATTCTCGCGGCTGGTAAACTCAATGAGCGTAACTTTCAAGCGAAAACGTTATTGACGACCTCATTAAAATCACCGAGGGAAGACCTCGTAAACAATCCCCCCATAAAGTATTGCACGTTATGTCTATCTGTCTCGCGGGGGTTTTGAAAGCCGGTAATCTCCATAACAATTTTCGTTATTCATCGCGTAGCACCTAAGCAAATATCGTAAACTCTTAGATTTTTTCAGTGAAAGAGAGTGAGAGAGAGAGGGGGGGGGAGACCTTGCTTTACGACGACGAAGCTCCCTCTCGTAGTTATTAAGTTCGCGAGGCGGATGAACATTGAGAAAGGTAATTGAGATTTAGGACGGCAGTCGTCAGCGAGTTCGCGGGAGCTCGTCAAAG